TCTACTGATTTTTGTTTTTTTTTAAAGTTTTGATAAAAAAAATACAACAGCTATATCTGTTGCAATCCAGAGCAGGGAACGAGGCCCTAAGATAACTATCCACCACACTTGACTGTGAAAAACAATCCTTTTTTATTGAAGAAAAATGGTTACAAAATAAAGGAAAAATGCAAGTCAAAAGCCACAGCAAAATCAGCAAACATGAATTTAAATGGACAAAGCAAAATCCAAAGCCACACTGTAAAATACTGGAACCTGTTAGCAATCCACTAACCGTACTTGATATCCTAGAAATCTTTCGAGACCATGGCCAGGGATACCGGGAGAACTGCCAAGGTCTTCATCAATCTGAAACGATGCCTGAACTGAGAAAGTCAGCCCGGCGGAAGGCACTTAAAGCCGAAGAATTGGTTCCTTGAACCGCCCCTCTGCTTTGTTGTTTGTATTTCTTTTAATTGGGAAGACCTTCGCAAGCTGAGTGATTTACTTCTGTCTTGCCAAATCTGGCCCCTTCTGTTCTCATTAAAGTTACCAGGTGCAGAAGGGAGTGAAAGGTCATGGCTTCCCTCTGAAACATTCTCATGAACACAGGTACTATCATTTTCCAAATCTACAGAAGTTCCTTCCTCACTAATTTCAGGAACATTGGCATTTTCCAAACCAACAGAAGTTTCTTCCTTACTAATTTCAGGAGCATTGGCATCAAGAGGTACATTTTCATTAGCATCAGTAAATATATTTTCATTAGCATCAGGAGGAACAAACAGAGAATCAGGTTCAAGTTCAAACTCAGGCTGAACCCCAACAATATCATTGAATATCTCTCTCATATTAACTCATATAACTTCTGTTTAGGGATTTCTTCTCAGCCCAGCATTGATTTACTTACTTGTATTGAAGTATCAGTCAGCCCTTATCTTTTGCAGATTCAACAATTTATTGGAACTCTGGATGTTGCTAGTAGGGAAAAATCTCTCCCCTCTCCTAATTGGAGCTTTCTGATGCTGAGCAGAATTCTGGGAAATGTAGTTTAGGGCAGGGCCTTCTGAATTTTCTGCCACAGGGCTCCTCTCCTTCCCAAACTACATTTACCAGAATTCTGTGCTTTCTCAGTCTCTTTCCCAGCTCACTCAGCTTATCCCGGCCAGCTGCTTTCCTCTCCTAAGGGTGGGTAAGGTAAGGTAGTCCCCTGACATTAAGTCCAGTCATGTCTGACTCTGGGGTGTGGTGCTCATCTCCATTTCTAAGCCAAAGAGCTGGCGTTGTCCGTAGACACCTCCAAGGTCATGTGGCCAGCATGACTGCATGGAGCACCGTTACCTTCCTGCCGGAGCGGTACTTATTGATCTACTCACATTTGCATGTTTTCGAACTGCTAGGTTGGCAGAAGCTAGGGCTGACAGCGGAAGCTCACGCCGCTCCCCGGAATCGAACCTGCGACCTTTCAATCAACAAGCTCAGCAGCTCAGTGCTTTAACCCACTGCGCCACCGGGGGCTCCTAAGGGTGAGAGGTCATTAATTTAAAGAGGATTTGCAGCCTTTTTGGCTTTGCCTCACACTGAAAATGAAACTGGCTTTGATAGGCTTCCAAGCATTACAGAATTCAAATGAAAAAGTATTGTGTGAGCTTTGATTCCTAAGTTTTTGCGTAGATTCCCCCCCTCCCGTTTCTTAATATTTGCTTGTACATACAAAACATACAAATTAGATACGACTGACTAATTAAAAAATATTATGCACAGTCCTAATAATTATGCAGTGTGATAGAGCCGCTGGTCTCAGCCAAGACAATCCCTCCCTCCCAGCTCAATATGACAAATAATAGTGTACAAGGCAGCCAAGTTCATACAATACCTCTCACTTCTCCAAGCACTTTGTTCCATCAGTTGAGATATATCAGCTGAACTTCATCCCATAAAAGACTGCATGAAGCTCTCGATATGTCCCTCTTTCAAGGAGAAAAGCAGCCTATAAATGCAACAATCATCAGGCAAACAAGAAAAACTATTCAGTTACTTTTCTGTTTGTTGTTTTTCTTACCTGGGAGAGGAATGCATGAAAACTGGATGCAAGATGAACCTCTTCCTTAGCCAAAAATAACTGAATCATTTCCAAGAGATCAGAGAAAGGAATGTAGCAACGAAAACAATATACCCTTCCTTATTTCCAGAGGAGAGAATGAGAAGCAATCTTTTTGTATTTCAAAGCTTTAAACGGAAAATAAGCTTCCTAAACCATACCCAAATTTAAATACAAAGCATCATTTAAGCCAAAAATCAGGAAAACCATACAATGTAAAATCTATATAAATAAAAATGTAATGTTCGTTTGTGGGATTAACAGAACTCAAAAACTACTGGATGAATTGACACCAAATTTGGACACAAGACACTTAACAACCCAATGTATGTCTTTCACTCAAAAAATTGATTTTGTCATTTGGGAGTTGTAGTTGCTGGGATTTATAGTTCACCTACAATCAAACAGCATTCTTAACCCCACCAACAATGGAATTGAACCAAACATATCATAACAGGACTCCCATGACCAACAGAAAATACTAGAAGGGTTTGGTGAGCATTGACCTTGAGTTTGGAAGTTGTAGTTCACTTACATCCAGAGAGCGCTATGGACTCAAACAATGATGGATCTGGACCAAACTTGGCACGGATACTCAATATGCCCAAATGTGAACACTGGTGGAGTTTGGGGTAAATAGACCTTGATATTTGGGCGTTGTAGTTGCTGGGATTTATAGTTCACCTACAATCAAAGAGCATTCTGAACTCCACCAATGACGGAATTGAAACAATCTTAGCACACAGAACTCCCATGACCAACAGAAAATACTAGAAGAGTTTGGTGGGCATTGACCTTGAGTTTTAGAGTTGTAGTTCACGTACATCCAGAGAGCACTGTAGACTCAAACTATGATGGATCTGGACCAAACTTGGCATGAATAGTCCACATGCCCAAATGTGAACACTGGTGGAGTTTGAGGAAAATAGACCTTGACATTTGGGAGTTGTAGTTGCCGGGATTTATAGTTCACCTACAATCAAAGGGCATTCTGAACCTCACCAACAATAATACTGGGCCAAACTTCCCACACAGAACCCCCATGACCAACAGAAAATACTGTGTTTTCTGATGGTCCTTAGTGACCCCTCTGACACTCCCTCGTGACCCCTCCAGGGGTCCCGACCAGGATTTTGATTCGGGAGGGTGGGGGGGGGAACTGAGTTTGATTCGGGGGTGGGGGCTGAGTCTGAGTGAAAGAGGGTCTACCCTAGCAAACCTTTTGTATCATTACCCCAATACCCCCATGCATATGGGATATATTGAGTATGGTGATCAGATCATGATATGAATAAACATAACAGTTTAAATAATGCACCAGTAAGGCCTTTTAGCGAACCACCATGAGAATTTCGGGGGGGGGGGCTGAAGCCCCTCAAGCCCCCCCCCCCCGGTTACATGTCTGCCTCCAGGGGTCCTGACCCCTAGGTTGAGAAATGCTGGTTTAACCCATTGCACCACCGGAGACTCCTGGTTTTAAAGAGTGTGTACATATGTATTCTATTGAATCTTTACTGTTCTAAAGGACAGAGAGCAGTTGGTGGGGCCTGATGTCCAAAAGTGTCCATGGGATGAGTTGGCGGGATAGATTTTTCTCCTTCAGGTCTCGTTGGCAAACAATGCCCCTTTGAGGCTTTACATAATGTATCTAGGCTTGCAGGCGACAACTCTTCACAGACTGCCTGCTGTGCAACTATCTCATTGCAGCGCACTTGTGTTTGTGTATTGCAGCTGGGGCTTTGTGGAACAATGTGAAACAGGCTGGTCTGATCATGTGGCTTTCTTTCAGCTCTGGGATGCAAGCCTAAACACCCTGTTTCATAATGTCACAAAACCCCACCCCACTAGGCATTTCCTCCTGAGAGTACCCACAGACTTCACTTCCTGCCCACATGCATTTTTGCAGGTGTTTCCACTAACCCACACTGTCTTCCCATCTTCTCAGTCCTGTGCAGGCAATAGTTCAGTTCATAAAGCCTCTGACAGTCAAGCTTCTGTTTACAAAGTGATTTTCAGGCTGTCCGGACCCTGCTCATTACATTATTATTATTATTATTATTATTATTATTTTGACACAAATACCATCTGATGCAGGCGAAATGTCAGGAGAGAATGCCTCTAGAACATGGCCATATAGCCCGAAAAACCTACAACAACCCAGTGATTCCGGCCATGAAAGCCTTCGACAATACAATCTTCTTCTTCTTCTTTGAAAACCAACAAGATGAGTCCACAGCAGACACTCTGTGGACTCGGCATGTGCACCAAAAGTCGCCTCTTCTCCTGACTTTCTCTTCAGCTTTTTGTACCAAGAGAGAGAGAGAGAGAGAGAGCCTCTCCGGCTGGAGGTATCTCCCACCTCCGCTCCCTCTTTTGTTTTTGCGCCTACCTTCAGGAAAGGTGGGCATCTCCACCTCTCTCTCTCTCTCTCTCTTGGTCCCAATGGCTGAGGAGAAAGTCAGGAGAAGAGGTGACTTTTGGTGCACACGCCGGGGTCTTCAGGCACGCCTCCGGACCCAAAGCGGGCCAGGCAAGGGAGCAAGTGCAAGTGTAGTTACTGGGATGTATAGTTCACCTACAATCAAAGAGCATTCTGAACTCCACCAATGATGGAATTGAACCAAATATGGCACACAGAACTCCCACGACGAACAGAAAATATATATCAATGATTGGTTGGGGGGGGGGCGCCAAAATACTGTTTGCTTACCGTTGAAAATTACCTAGGGCCGCCTCTGGATGGAATGGTATATAAATAAAGATGATGATAATGATGATGATGATGATGATTATTATTATTATTATCATCTCACAGTGAGGTAATGTACTGTCCTGGACCCTTGGTACTCACTTGGCCCCAAATCCTCTTGTAAATATAAGTACAGTAGTTGTTAAGAAATAACACACACACACAAGTTCATTCTTTATTAAATAAACTTTAATTATCTGCATAGAAGATTAAAAGGAAAATAAAAAAATTATCTCTGGAATCCATTGAATTAGCGTTAAAAAAAGGATGACGACGAGTGGTTTGTAATTTCTACGAAGGTCACTTTGCGTTAAGGAAAAGACCGAGGGGCAGGAGGGCGGAATGTGTTCCTGGAAGATTCAGCAGCTGTTTGGCACGTGGCATTTCAGGGGGAGCCTGTAAAGTGCAGAAGGCACAAGAACTCTGCTACAAAGTGCATTAAAATGTTTATTTTTTTAAAAAAACCAAATAAAATCCACTCACTCTTCCTGTGTCTTAAATCAGGACATGCTCACTAAAACTTCGGGGAGTCCTTGTGTGATACATATCCAGCAACAGTTACACACAATACAAGAATGTGCTTCCTTAGAAAAGCGGGTGACAGTGAAGCTCGTGGGAGAGAAAATGGCTCCAGGAGGCAACAGAGAAGAACAATGGAGTCTCCTTCCTTCTTCTGACTTGACCTTGTTGGGCCCCTTCTCAATAGCGGTGGTTCCCAGAGTCAGTGAGATGTGTTATCGCTGCTGTGTTAGATGAGTGGCTACAAGAAGATCCTCCTTAGCCTCAGAGCATGGCCTGTTGTCACTTTTCCCAGGTTGCTCCGTGACCAGGTTCCACCCCAATTCAAGGAGTGTTGTCCCCATGGGAAAGTCATTTCCAAAGGGGGTCTTGCAGGTTCTGCTGATATTTTTGCCGGCGAATGCAGCGAGGGCAAAAATTAGCACTAATTTTGCAGTTGCTGTGGAAGACGGTTTTGCATTCACTACATCTGTGAAGAAAAGAGGGGAAAGGATAGTGTCAATCACAGCAGTGACTCACAGGACATTTATTTATTATTTATTTCAAATATTTGTACCCCACTCTTCTCTACTCAGGGCGGCTTATAGCCAGCAACAATTTGATGCCCTCCATATACAAACAGGTAAAACAACAGTTACATAATAAGTAAAACATTAAAATCAGATTAAAACCATTTAAAATAATGCAAATTGAATTAGTTGGCCATGTCTAAGTCAGAGTTTTACGATCAACTTAATCCAAAGCCTGTCCATAGTCCATTTTCCATAGCATTGTCGTCATTTTATTGTCGGCCTGCTATTCGAATGCCTATCTGAATGCTTGGTCCCATAGCCACATCTTCAACTTTTTCCTGAAGGAAAGGAGGGAAGCTGTTGACCTCATTTTGCTTGGGAGCGAGTTCCACAGGCGGGGTGCCACTGCTGATAAGGCCCTCTCATCCCCACCAAGCGCATTTGCGATGAAGGTGGGATCGAGAGCAGGGCCTCCCTGGAAAATCGTAAGTTTCAAGGTGGGACATAGGGGGAGATATGTTCGGACAAGTAAGCTGGGCTTAAGGGGATGGGGTGCAGGAGCCTTGATAAGGATATTTCTACCAAGCTCTAGACCAGGGATCCTCAAACTATGGCCTAGGGGCCGGATACGGCCCTCCAAGGTCATTTACCCGGCCCTCGCTCAGGGTCAACCTAAGTCTGAAACGACTTGAAAGCACACAACAACAACAACAATCCTATCTCATCAGACAAAAGCAGGCCTACATTTCCCATTGAAATACTAATAAGTTTATATTTGTTGAAACTGTTCTTCATTATTGTATTGTTTTGAAGTGTTTTTTGCACTGCAAATAAGATATGTGCAGTGTGCATAGGAATTCTTTTGTGTTTTTTCAAATTATAATCCGGTCCTCCAACAGTTTGAGGGACTGTGACCTGGCCCTCTGTTTAAAAAGTTTGAGGACCCCTGCTCTAGACATACTGGATTGCAACTCTCAACATCCTCAAACAGTACGCTGGACAATTTAAATCCCCAACCTTGCGGCAAGTTGCACACACACACAACCCACTGCCAAAAGAGTGGTATTTTTCTTCAGAGTCTCTCTCAAAATAGTGACTGAAAGTGATGAGAGGCAGTGATGAAAATAAAGCTATCTGGAAGAAGGAGTTGTGGGGGGTATTTTTGTGTATTTTTTCATGTTTGGAAGAGGATTCTGTGATATTTTAGGACAATAAATGAAGTGGGTGGAAGGTTTCAGGAGTTGCAAAATAGATACATAGTAAAGGTAAAGGTTTTCCCTTGACATTAAGTCCAATTGTGTCTGACTCTGGGGGTGGGTGCTCATCTCAATTTCTAAGCTGAAGAGCCAGCGTTGTCCGTAGACAACGCTGTGTTAAAGAAAATCGAGTAAAATTAAGACCGTGAGATTATTAGCTCAAGATTTCAGCATGCTTGTCTCCTGAACCAACAATCAACCTGCACCTTGAAATAAAAATATATAATTTAATGGTAGAAGATAAAGAGTTTATGGTAAGAGCAATAAGTAACAAATGGAATGGAGTTAAATCATTACAGACACAAGAAATAGAGGAAATAATTAGGAACATGAATAAAATAAAAACAGAAATATAATGAATTAGAAAAAAAGATGATATTAAGATGGTATAGAACTCCTGAACAATTGGCTTATATGGTAAAAGGAAAGAATTCAAAGTGTTGGCATTGTAATAAAGGAAAAGGTACTTATTCACATATGTGGTGGGAGTGTTCTGAAATAAAAAAAATCTGGCAAATCATATAAGGAAAAATTCAGGAGATATTCCAGATAAAAATTCAAATTAATAATGATTTGCTACTATGGGGAGAGTTGGATCATCCGAGTATAACAATGAATTGCCAGGAGTTATTTAAGGTAACAATAAGAGCAGCCCATGTGGTGATTGCTAGAAGATGGAAAGACAAATTGAAATGGACATTAAGTAATTGGAATGATTATATGTATGATATAGGGATGTTAGATATTATGGGAATTATGACTAAGCAAGCACCAAGAACGGACAAAGAAAAGGTCATTACAAATAGATGGAAGGTCTACTTCAACTGGGTGAAAAATGGAGGAGCCAACGATTATATCAAAGAAAAAAAACAAAGACTTTACCAGTGGCTGGATCTGCAAGATTAGTAGAAATATTCTGTGGTTGAGGAGGGAGGGAGAGGGAGGGAGGATGGGAAAAATATAATCTACACCAGTGTAAATTAACATAATGTCTTTAATATTTGTTGAATTACTCAGGATTTATACATGTAACACCTGGAATTTGGTTTATTGATTTGCGTTTATAACATAATAAAATATGTAAAAAAAAACCATGCCCCTTGAAATTTTCCTCTCTCTTTCTACACTGCCAAATAATACGGTTGATACTGCATTATTTGGCAGGGTAGAACCAGTCTTAGACATACACACGAGAGAGGTGTGTAGCTTTGTGTTCTTTTGTGGAAGACCAGGTGTGCAAGAGGAAATGACCACAGGCTGCCTGCCACCTGCGAGAAGGAAAATTCAGGAAGGAGCTGCTGCTGCCTCCAGACAGAATAAAAGTGCAGCTTGGAGCCATTGTCAGGCATGCACCAGGCACATCCTGCCGCTCAGGGTAAACACTCTGACTCAGACCACAGGAAACACTGTCATCCCAGCAAGGAGGCACTCTTCCTGCTCCGATACACAACCAGAAAGGAGAGGCCCACAAACTTCAATGAAATGAGCTTCCTGACTGCCATCCAACCGTGCTGCTCTAGAACTGCAGCTTTCCAAGATGAGCTGCAGGAAGGGGAAATCATGGAATTTAAAAACTGATTTAAGGAGGAGCTGGTGCCTGAATTCTTTCCAGTATCTTGACTTTCCACAGTGGAAGTGGTGGGACAGGGACTAAGGAATGCATCCCCTCTTTTTCTAAGTCATTGTCCTCCCCAAATTAGAAACAATGGGTGTATCTACATCAGACATGGGCAAAAGTTGGCCCTCTGGGTGTTTTGGACTTCAATCCCTCAGAAATCCCAGCCAACTTATTGGCTGCTAGGAATTGTGGGAATTGAAATCCAAAACACCGGCAGGGCTGAAGTTTGTTACAGTAGGTCGTAGCAGGATCAAGTGTGTGTTAAAGAAAAACCTCATGATGTTAATTATTATGTACAGCTGGTAATGTAGGTCAGCCAGCAAGTTTGGAACACACCCGGTGGGGTATAACTGTATGGATTTTAGAATAAAGTTTGGAGAAGCAATATGCTACTCTGAGGAGAAGCAATATGCTGTAATTCTGCTATGCTCTAACAGCGATGCTCTTTGCTATGGTGTAATAGCTATTTACTCAAGGTTTATGATTTGCTCTCTCATTTGAATGAAGATGAAGAAGTCTTATCCTGTGCTACTTACAAGGACTATGTAAGTTTGTTGTACTGTTTTTGCCTCAGCTGATAAGAGTAAAGTTTTTCTGTTCAATTTTTCCTCTTGTTTGTGTCTCTTTTGCATGGGACTTGGCTAAAACATGCTTTGTGCAATGAAGTTTGCCCATGCTTGATCTAAACCAGGGGCCCTCCAAGGTCATTTACCCGGCCCTAACTCAAAGTCAACCTAAGTCTGAAATGACTTGAAAGCACACAATAACAACAACAATCCTATCTCATCAGACAAAAGCAGGCCCACACTTCCCATTGAAATACTAATAAGTTTATATTTGTTAAAATTGTTCTTCATTTTAATTATTGCATTGTTTTTAAGTATTTAATGTGCTACAAATAAGATATGTGCAACATACATAGGAAATCATGTTTCTTTCAAATTATAATCCGGCCCTCCAACAGTTTGAGGGACTGTGACCTGGCCCTCTGTTTAAAAATATGAGGACCCCTGATCTAAACTGTAGAATCAATGCAGCTCGATACCACTTTAACTGCTATGGTTCAATGCTATGGAATCCTGGGAATTGTGGTTTGGTGAGGCACCAACATTCTTTGGCAGAGAAGGCTAAAGACTCCATGAATTCATAACACTGAGCCATGGCAGTAAATGTGGTGTAAGCCTGCAATAATACTACAGTGTAGATGCACCTAATGTATTTGAAGAAAACATACTTAATATACTGTCCACAGCTGTCTAACACCAGAGGTGGGGAAAGCATGCCCTGTGGATTATAGTTTGTTTTTGAAATTAATATCTTAATTAAATAAAATAATTTCTGTTTCATTTCTTGGTTGAAAAAAAAGCCTCTCTTGGACCTAAACTATCATATAGAAGGTAAACAGAACTATTCATGTGGAGTATCTATTTTAGCAAAGTACAAAAAGAAAGAGTGATGTGATGACATGGCTGATGCTGTAGCTCTCTAAGGTCTTTTGGGGGGAAGAATTGTGGTGTCCAATTCTGGGCACCACAATTGAAGGGAGATGTTGAATGTGGAGTGTGATCAGAGGAGGGTGACTAAAATGACCAAGGGTCTGGAGAATAAGCCCTATGAGGAGCAGCTTAAAGAGCTGGGAATGTTTAGCTTGAAGATGAGAAGGCTGAGAGGAGATATGATAGCCATGTATAAATATGTGAGAGGAAGCCATAGGGAGGAGGGAGCAAGCTTGTTTATTTGCTGCCCTGGAGACTAGGACGCGGAACAATGGCTTCAAACTACAGAAAAGGAGATTCCATCTGAACATCAGGAAGAACTTCCTAACTGTGAGAGCTGTTCAGCAGTGGAACTCTCTGCCCTGGAGTGTGGTGGAAGTTCCTTCTTTGGAGGCTTTTAAACAGAGGCTGGATGGCCATCTGTTGGGGGTGCTTTGAATGCAATTTTCTTGCTTCTTAGCAGGGGGTTGGACTGGATGGCCCATGAGGCCAACTCTATGATTCTATGAAGCCACAATTCATGGCTTTTGCCCACCTCTGTTGTACATGAACCATTCCTTCATTGATAGTGTTTGTTTCCTCACTATCATAGTGAACCTGCAAAACATGGTAAATGCACTGGGAAAACTCTCACTGCCCTGTATCTTAAATAACAAAAATTCAGCATCCTTGAAAGTATGGGTGGTTGATGGGGGATGCTCACCTAGTAGTTGTGTCAAATTCGAAGGGGAAGATGATGTCGTTGCTGTTGCAGATCTGGCAGATGAAACCCCTCTGAGTGCAAAGGTCACAGTTGTAGACATGGTGGGAGGCAAACTGAATCAGAGACTGGAGGAATGTCTCAAATATACCATCTGCAATCTAAGAACGGAGGAATATTAGTAGTTCAACTGGGATGGGGAGAGTAAAGAAAGGATCGTATTTATGAAAACACAAAGCAATGTCCATCTACCTGATCTAAGATATCCATCTTATCTATACAATTTAGTCATTCTGCTTTTCAGTTGGGATGTCATGACCTCCTTTCTTGGACTTGTGGGGAACCATGAAAGTAGGCCATGACTGGGCCTATAGCTCACTTGAAGCAAGGGAGAGGGTTTTCATGGAAATGAGGTTTGAAGGGGAGAGCCATAGTGAGGGATATGAGGTGAGAGGAAAACCAACTGTCAGATGGAACTTTGTATGTAACCGTACTGTATGCTTTTAGAAATAAAGCCCTTCCAGTCTGTCTGTGAGGTAATTTCTTCTCTAGAAAACTGCAGATCAGGACACGGGATGTAATTCTTCACTAACTTTATTCTCAAAGGAAGCAATGAATCATTTTGACAATTTTATTCCTGTTGTGAGAAAGTCTTAGAAAGTTGTGCTGTTTTTGAAGACTATTTATAGTTCAGGATTTATTCTGCGCAATACTTGCAACACCTATTTTTGTGCTGATAACAGCCTGAATCCTGGGTTGTTGTAGGGTTTTTTTGGGCTATATGGCCATGTTCTCAAAGCATTCTCTCCTTACGTTTCGCCTGCATCTATGGCAAGCATCCTCTGAGGATGCTTGCCATAGATGTAGGTGAAACGTCAGGAGAGAATGCCTCGAGAACATGGCCATATAGCCCAAAAAAACCTACAACAACCCAGTGATTCCAACCATGAAAGCCTTCGACAATACATTAGCCTGAATCCTCTTGATTAGTTTAACTAGAGTAGAGCCATGGAACCAATTACACTATGCAACATAATTTTTGTTCCTAGGTTAAAAATTACATTGGTTCCATTAAAAAAAAATATTATTATTACCCACTGAAGATATTTGTGTGCAGAAAATGCAGTTCGCTGAGGACTTGTGCCATAAACAGATTCTGCACAGAAAATGATATTTCTGTGTAGAAAACCCATGCAAATGTTGTGCAGAATAAATCACAAATTGAATATTTTCATTAATCCACATTTCTCCTTGTCCAGTTTCCCTGACATTCAACAAACATGTGTTTGACCATAAGTTGAATATTCTTTCCATTCCTACTTTTCAGTATAATATTTCAGAGGTAGCTGAGACATCATTATGCCAATGAGTTAGTTTACAGCAAAGCAGCCCTTCTGATATTATTACACACACACAGAGAAGAGCTTTATTGATTAAAGACATGGGCCACCACAATATGTGTGCAATAATACAACCATATAGACCAGGGGTCCCCAAAATAATGCCCGGGGGCTGGATACAGCCCTCCAAGGTCATTTACCCGGCCCTCGGTCAGGGTCAACTTAAGTCTGAAATGACTTGAAAGCACAAAACAACAACAACAACAACAACAACAACAACAACAACAACAACAATCCTATCTCATCAGCCAAAAGCAGGGCCACACTTTTCATTGAGATACTAATTAAAATTGTTCTTCATTTGGATTATTGTATTGTTTTTAAGTGTTTTTTGCACTACAAATAAGATATGTGTGCATAGGAATTCATTCATTTTTTTTTTCATATTATAATCCAGCCCTCCAACAGTTTGAGGGACTGTGACCTGGTCCTCTGTTTAAAAAGTTTGAGTACCCCTGGTATAGGCAGTAAGCCATTGTTATCTGCTGGGGATTGGTTCCAAATATATGCCAAAATCTGTGAATGCTCTAATCCCACTGTATACGGTGGCATAGTAGAATGGTGACCCCTATATAAAATGGCAAATTCATGGTCTGCTTTTTGGATTTGGAGAGGGGGGGGGTATTTTAAAGCTTTGGATGGTGGAGAATCCAGAATCTATGAATGGTGAGGGGGGTGGCTATTTATATAGAACTGACCCAATGCTATGACATCCAAGGAGCGAGGGCTATGCATAAACAACTTCACAACCTTGCTTTACACCTTCTTTAGGAATCACAAAGAATATAGCATTTGTACTGGACACTACAAAGCCAAGTGATAATCTGCCACATCTTGGAGACAGCACCAGTATAAACCTCTCTGGAGTCAACCCCCCCCCCCAGTTTCAAATCTTCCCCGGAAAGTGCAAAACAATAGAAAAAGCAGCTGTCTCTGAGCATAGACAAACCAGTTTCACAATACAGCAGTGGTTCCTTCTCCTTCCTGCAGCCCATTATAATAGAATATTGTGCTAGTTCATCTATTGCCCTGTTTGGAGGGAGATAGGGAAGATTTCCTCTGCCTGCCTCTCATTTAAGAAGCTTCCTCCTTCCAGAGCTCATACCTGCCTCAGGTCAGCCACACTGTATTTATGGGGACATTCCAGGAGATAGTGCCGGTGATCCAGTCTGCAGAAAGAGCACATAAAATGGGGAGCATCAGTAAGAGCTTATGAAGGTTGCCTGTCATGTTCTCCAAAGAAAACTGGAAAATGTGAAATACAGAATTATGTACAGAATCAGCAGGATCTTGGTGCCAGAAGGACAACTCAATAAATTGTTTGCAAGGCCAGAAGACTTGTCACTTGATGCTCAGGTGTCGGCGGTGGTCGGGAGGGCCTTTGTACAACTTAAACTTGTGCGCCAGCTGTGACCATACCTTGTGAAGTCTGACTTGGCCAGCGTGGTCCACGCCTTGGTTACATCCAGATGGGACTATTGCAATGCACTCTACGTGGGGCTGCCCTTGAAGACGGCCCGGAACCTCCAACTGGTACAACAGGCGGCAGCCAGGCTCCTTACTGGAGCAAACTATAGGGAGCATACAACGCCCCTTTTAAAACAGCTTCACTGGCTGCTGATAAGTTGCCGAGCCAAATTCAAGGTGTAGGTTATGACCTATAAAGTCCCAAACGGTTCGGGCCCCACCTATCTTCGTGATCGCATCTCCCTCTATGAACCAGTGTGAACTTTAAGATCTTCCGGGGAGGCCCTCCTTTTGCTCCCACCACCATCACAAGCATGGTTGGTGAGGACGAGGGAGAGGGCCTTCTTGGTGGTGGCCCCTCATCTCTGGAATGCCCTTCCTGGAGAAATAAGACAGGCCCCACCCTTCCCTCCTTTTGTAAGAGTCTGGTGGTTTAAACTAACCTTTGAGAATGACTAGTTCTAGCTCTGCCCAGATACTGTTGAAATTGGCCATATCTTTTTCTACCATTTACCCAGGTCCCTTTCTTCTATTAGGCCCTGGAAATATACAGCCATAGACTCTACCTAGTTTCCCGGGGCCTTTTAAACTGCCTTGATCAGGCATGATTATTTTAAATATATGTGCTATTGTGGTTTTAATGCTTATATTGTCTTGTTAATTTTATGTTTATGCCGTTTTTTCTTGTATGTATTGATTATGTTACTTGGAAACCGCTCTGAGTCCCCTTGGGGAGATAGAGCGGTATATAAATAAAGTTTTGTTGTTGTTGTTGTTGCTATTAAGACACATTTTAATGGAGACATATTTCCTAGTGGAATTTGGGGAAAGTTACAGTAACTTTTTTGGACCACAATGCTCTTGGTGGTTAGGAGATTATGTGAATTAACATATGGAAGAGTAACATTTCCAAGCTCTGTTCACTGCTTTCTCTATTTTTCCCATGTTTTCTGCTTGTCTTGCTCAGGAGATATTTCCTAGCCTTTCTTTCTTTCCTTCTTTCTTTCTTTCTTTCTTTCTTTCTTTCTTTCTTTCTTTTTTTACAAGCCGCCCCCTTCCATGCGTTGCTGTGGCCCAGTCTGGTGATCTGGAAAATAAAGTAATGAGAAAGTGTTGGTTTCTAATATATGTAATTTCTTTATGCTTGTGGGTAAAAAGCATTTCTTGCTGTTTCTTTGTCAGTGTTGATGTGGAGAGTGTCTGGTTTGCCTACTCTGGAACATGCAACACATCCTTCTTTAGGGTCCCTTTCCAATCTATGATATCTGTGTGTGTGTAAATCATATATATCTATCTATATCTATGGCTGGATGGCTCTTTGTCAGGAGGGCTTTGATTATGTTTTCTTGCCCTGATGAAGGGAGTTGGACTGGATGGCCTTAAGTATTTTCTGTTGGTCTGTGTGGGAAGTCTGCCCCAATTCTGTCATTTGTGGGGTTCAGAATGCTCTTTGATTGTAGGTGAACTATAAATCCCAGCAACTACAACTCCCAAATGTCAAGGTCTACCCCCCCACTCCCCAAACTCCATCTGTGCTCATATTTATTTATTTATTTATTTATTTATTTATTTATGCGCTTGTATACCGCTAATATCTCAGCCTAAATCGGCGACTCATTGCGGTTTACAACACTTAAAAAACAACAATATTCAGTTTAAAAGCATAAAACACATATACAATACAAATTATTGGGCCACCAATAACCATCCAATGCATCTCGTAACTGGAGTCGCAATCCAATTCATATTTGGGCATATTGAGTATTTGTGCCAAGTTTGGTCCAGATCCATTATTGTTTGAGTTCACAGTGCTGTCTGGATGTAGGTGTACTACAACTCCCAAACTCAAGGTCAATGCCCACCAAACCCTTCTTGTGTTTCCTGTTGGTCATGGGAGTTCTGTGTGCAAAGTTTGGTTCAATTCCATCGTTGGTGGAGTTAAGAATGCTATTTGATTGTATGTGACTAAGAAAGACTAAGAAACTACTTGCGTTTTGATGAGGTGAGACTCTAGAACAGTTTAGTTGTAGACAAATTCCATTACTGACACGCACACACACACACACTTTTTTTTAGCAGCACACCTACACTAAAGAGATCCAGATGTTATGGGCATCTCACCGCATCCAGTGCTCAGAAAAGTGCAAAAGAAGTAACTTTCCCAAATTTTGGTTGGAACTAAGTACCTTACCAATAACCCTTGACCAGGCATAAAAAAAGCAATATTTTCATATCAAGTCATTTTTTTTTATTTTTGAAAATTTCTTGCAAAAATGCAATTGTGTAAGAAGTGGGAACTTTCATGGCAGCGTGTCTTCATTTCCCCCCCACTAAATATAACACAAATGTACAATTTTTGCAGGCTGATGGCAGTGATTTGTGTGTTGGGATATGACTCTGAACACCAGGGTTTGAATCCACACCAAGCCATTGAAATCCACTGGGTGACGTCAAGCAAATCATATTATCTCAGTTTCAGAAGAAGCCAAAGACAATCCCCTACTGAACAAACATTCCCAAGAAAACTCTATGATAGGTTTGCCTTAGGATCATATTAAGTTGGAAACTACTTGAAGCCTGCAAACAGCAGTATCTATTGAATTTGCCCCTGAAAGTTGTTTCAGTTCAATTATGAAGAATTAATTAAAAAATCACATATTTGGAACAGAAATCCCTTGAAGTTTGTTTTTTTTAAGTCTATGGAGAAGAAAGTGAATTGGGCAAAATGTTTTGGGATCAAATTCTGTTGAGTAATGTTGCTTCCCTGCAACAAGGAATGAGCAAAGCATATCTTCAAATTCTGTTGTGATTCTCTTGGGCATGTGGCCTTGAACTTGTTCATAAACTGAAAAGTGGCTTCTCATATTGCAGATCTTGAGTAGGTGTAAGGGTAAGGTAAAGGTTGTCCCTTGACATTAAGTCCCGTCATGTCTGACTCTGGGGTGTGGTGCTCATCTCCATTTCTAAGCCAAAGAGCCGGCGCTGCCCATAGACACCTCCAAGGTCATGTGGCCGGCATGACTGCATGGAGCGCCATTACCTTCCCGCCGGAGCTGTACCTATTGATCTACTCACATTTGCATGTTTTCGAACTGCTAGGTTGGGAGAAGCTAGGGCTGAGCGGAAGCTCACGCCGATCCCTGGAATCGAACCTGTGACCTTTCCGTCAACAAACTCAGCAGCTCAGCGATTTAACCGACTATGCCACCGGTGTAGGGCCTAATAAATCAAGAGTAATGGTGGCTTTCCACACAATGAAGATTCACCTTTTTGTGATCTCCTTCAGGGCCCCGCTGCGGCAAAGGACAAGGTAGTCCCCAAGGAGTTTCAGCTGCTCCCGTCTCCGGTAGACATGGCTCATGTGGTCCACATGGTCATAGAGGGTCTCATTCACCAACTTCAAGTCGATCAAAGGCTGGCTGCGAATTTGGTTCAGGAACTTGATAGCTTGACGACAGACCTAAGAAAGGGGGTTGGATGAGCACACACTGTAAAAATAATGTGCAAGTCTCCAAGATGTCACTGCAGTGCTAAAATGCTATTCTTCCTCCCTATTAGTCATGTGGTGTAACTGACAGGAGCTGACTCCAAGAACTTCTAGAGTTATTGTTCCTGCAATACATATGAATGGATGACAAAATCTGCAGTTCTTACTTGCTCTCTTTAAATGTCCTGTTTCCAGCTCTGTACTTAGACTAGTCCAGGCATGGACAAATTGCGGTCCTCCAGGTGTTTTGGACTTCAGCTCCCACAATAAACGGGCAAGGGGGAAAAGGAAAGGGCCTGAGGCTGTTAGGAATTATGGGAGTTGAAGTCCAAAACACCTGGAGGACCCAAGTTGGCCCATGCCTGAGCTAGCCCGTCTGTGTTACATCTATGTTCTGCCTAGTACCCAGAACATAGAAGTAATTTAGCCCTTTTCCACTAGGGCTAAATCACTGCTGTCATCATTTATTTATAAAAGACCCGATCATTATATAGGGCACATAACAAGTAAAAGAATAACAAAACTGTTCCCTGTCACCAGGTTTACAATCTAATTAAGACACAAGAGAGAGGGGGCCAGAAGACAGTTCCATCTTGTATCCTGAATATGTCATCAGTTGGCGACCCCTCCTGCCAGCACCAACTGCCACTCAGGGCCAGAGTGAAGAGAGAGGGGACCAGGGGACAGTCCAATCTTGTATCCTGCATATGTCATCATTTGGTGACCTCTTACCCCAGCACCAACTGCCACTCTGGGCCAGAGTGAAGAGAGAGGGGGCCAGAAGACAGTTCCATCTTGTCTCCTGCATATGTCATCAGTTGGGGACCCCTTCCCCCAGCACCAACTGCTGCTCTGGGCCAGAGTGAAGAGAGAGAGGGGGCCAGGGGACAGTTCCATCTTGTCTCCTGCATATGTCATCAGTTGGGGACCCCTCCCCCAGCACCAACTGCCACTCTGGGCCAGAGTGAAGAGAGGGGGAGCCAGGGGACAGTTCCACCTTGTCTCCTCATATGTCATCATTTGGGGACCCCTCCCCCTCCCCAGCACCAACTGCTGCTCTGGGCCAGAGTGGAGAGGGGGCCAGGGAACAGTTCCATCTTGTCTCCTGTGCTATGCTAATTACAATATAATATAATATAATAATATAATATAATATAATATAATATAATATAATATAATATAATATAATATGTTGTACATACATATAATATGTATAATATTATCATGTAATACAATATAATACTAATACTAATAATATGATATTATAATTATATATTTTATATTACATGTAACATTACTAATAATATTACAATATAATAGTATAGTAGAAGACATTTTCATCTTGTCTTTACTAATAATATTATATAGTATATTGTATATACATATAATATTTATAATATTATAATGTAATACAATATAATGCTAGTAATAATAATACAATATTATAATTATAAATTTATATTACATGTAATATTACTAATAATATTACAATATAATGGTATAGTGCAATATAGTAATATATAATACTGATATTGTAAAGGTAAAGGTAGTCCCCTGAAATTAAGTCCAGTCATGTCTGACTCTGGGGTGTGGTGCTCATCTCCATTTCTAAGCCGAAGAGCCAGCATTGTCATGTGGCTGGCATGACTGCATGGAGCGCCGTTACCTTCCCGCTGGAGCGGTACCTATTGATCTACTCACATTTGCATGTTTTCGAACTGCTAGGTTGGCAGAAGCTAGGGCTGACAGCGGAAGCTCACGCCGCTCCCCGGAATCGAACCTGCGAACTTTCGATCAACAAGCTCAGCAGCTCAGTGCTTTAACCCACTGCGCCACCGGGGGCTCCATACTGATATTGTACTATGCTAATAATATAATATATTGTATGAAAATATATCTTGTAAGCCACTCTGAGTCCCCTTCGGGGTGAGAAGGGTGGCATATAAATGCCGTAAATGAATAAATAATAATAAATAATAGTACAATATAGTAATATATAATATTGATATTGTACTATGCTAATAATATAATATATTGTATGTATATATATCTTGTAAGCCACTCTGAGTCCCCTTTGGGGTGAGAAGGGTGGCATATAAATGTCGTAAATATAAATAAATAAATAAAAGTACCTGGGGGGCCAAAGTTTGAAAACCACAGCTCTAAATGACATATGTTCTCGGGCTACTGGTTTTAAAAGGCAAAACTGAATTCTGCATTTTTCTGACTGTGTAATGCCTTTATAATGGTTACAGATGTAAGTAGCTGAATCCAGTACCAGTATTTGAATTGCCTATTTGAATTGAGCAGAATGTCCAAGCAACAGATGCCCTTGCTTCCCACTCTTCCCAGACATACCGGACGTCTTGCAAGGTCCCAGTTATGAATCAGTCGTGACGGGATTACCGACTCGTCATCCTGATGGCAGTTGTCACAGTAATACAGGCCTGTGAATGAGCACAGCTTGGGCCTTGGGAAGGAAAAGCCAATTTGCCTGGAGCAACCTAAACAGGACAGAAAGCAAAATCTAAGGACATATGAAGAATGCCACAAACTGGTTCCACAAACAGGGCCTCTCCAGCCATGTCAGGCTATATCCTCTACCCTTAGTGGCTCAGTTTGATAGGTGTACTACTCCAACACACCTACAGGAGGCTACATTAGACAAGGGCTACATCAGGTCACAGGACAGACTTCACCCTGGTAAGGCTCTAGGCCTGAAAGTGCAGATGGGATTCTGAGAGATGTACATTAGGAAGAACTTCCTAACAGTGAGAGCTGTTCAGCAGTGGAATTCTCTGCCCTGGAGTGTGGCGGAGGCTCCTTCTTTGGAGGCTTTTAAACAGAGGCTTGGATGGCCATCTGTCGGGGGTGCTTTGAATGCAATTTTCCTGCTTCTTAGCAAGGGGTTGGACTGGATGGCCCATGAGGTCTCTTCCAACTCTATAATTCTATAATTCTACTAGCTGTGCCCTGCCATGCTTTGCTGTGGCCCAGTCTGTGTACATATGTTTGTGTGTGTATATATTTGTGTATATGTGTATATATGTGTGTTTGTGTATATATGTGGTTTTGCGCACGCGTTGTAATGTACTTTTTTATTTTTAAAGTGTCTTCCGCTTTGTTTTTCAGTGTTTTTATGAGTGATGGTCACTTGTTACCTTGATAGGTGTCTTGTGTCCAAATTTTGTGTAAATCCGTCCAGTAGTTTTTGAGTTATGTTAATCACAAAAACAAACCTTACATTTTTATTTATATACTAGCTGTGTCCTGCCATGCTTTGCTGTGGCCCAGTCTGTATTTGTGTGTGTTTGTGAACTGCCTGTATTTGTGTGTGTTTGTGACTCACCCTCCGGCTGAGAAAGTGCGGTATACAAATGCGATAATTAAATATATGTGTATATGTGTGTGTATATATTTGTGTACATATGTGTGTTTGTGTATATATATGTAGCTTTGCGCATGCATTGTAATGTATTTTTTTGGGGGGGGGGGCTTTTTTAGTCTCTTCTGCTATGATTTTCGGTGTTTTTATGAGTGATGGCACTTGTTGGCCTGATAGGTGTATCGTGTCCAAATTTGGTGTCAATTTGTCCTGTGGTTTTTGAGTTATGTTAATCCCACAAACGAACATTACATTTTTATTTATATAGATGTAGCCCCCTAATAGGACCCACTCACATGCTCTGATTTCAATGCAATTCTTGCTTTGTTACCCACCCTGACATTCCTCTCACCTGCACAGATAAAGCTCTGGCAATCCAGTCCCTTCTCTGTTGGGATGGCCACCAGGTACTGCAGGAGGAATCCATTCTCCTTGACAGTGCTCTTCAAGATCACTTGCGAGTTCCCATCCAAGTTGCCTCCAAGAGTCAGGGCCTCCTCGGCTGTTTCCAGGTAGGACATCAGCACCCGACGGACCAGGTCTCTCCAGTCAGCCGCCTCCTCAGCATTCTCTGCTCTCAGCTTCAGCACTGCTTTCGAGGTGATGATCTTGAAGAAGGAGGGGCCCCCCAGGCTCACATCTGGCAGGATGTCCTGGATGGTCTCTACTCCATAGCTATTACTCAGAGTCTTTTCACCATGTCGGGCTCTAAAGCACTTCAAGGTTTCCAAGGACAAGGAGAACACAAAAGGGGTCCATGTCCTTTCGGTATCCAAGTACAGGACGGTCTCTTTGACTGCATCCAGCTCAGGTGTCAAGGGACACACCCACTCAAGCCCATTTTGCCCCGTCCCACTGTACTGCAGGAGGGCGGATGGGTTGTCAGGCAGTCCCTCGGCATTTGTGGCCTGATCTTCGATCACCTCGGGGCACTCAAGAGTCTCCCAATCCTCGTCCTGCTGAGGCCGACACTTCTGGAGGGCTTCATGCAGTCGGTCTAGCCAGTCATCAGCCTCATCCTGGGACCCTGCCCGAAGGCACAGCCGTCTGCCCGAGAAGACCAGATCGAAGCGGCCATCGCTCTGTGCCTGCCCCAGGGACTCGCACCTCAGGAGGGAACAGTTCTCCACGCACACACGCTCCTCATTGTCCACATAGAGGCGCAGCTCCAAGGGCGAGAGCTCACAGAAGAACTCCTTCCAGATGCCCATGCCTCCTCGGCGCTGCAAGGTCCCCAATTTTAGGAGGCCGCGAAATGGATTGGAAAGACCTGCAGTTGGGTGGGGCAGTAAAGAGAAAAATTAGTCCCCCACATCAAAAAAAACAAAACAAAACAAAAAATGAAAAGAAGGAAGGAAGGAAGGAAAGAAAAAGAAAGAAAAAGAAAGAAAGAAAGAAAGAAAGAAAGAAAGAAAGAAAGAAAGAAAGAAAGAGGATTATGTTCCACCTCGTAGTCTAAGATCTGCTGAGAAGGCCCTGCTCTCGGTCCCACCGGCTTCGCAAATGCGTCTGGTGCGGACGAGGGACAGGGCCTTCTCGGTGGTGACCCCCTCTTGTAGAATTCACTCCCCAGTGAGATTAGATCGGCATCCTCCCACCTTTCCTTCAGAAAAAAACTAAAATCCTGGTTTTGGAACCAGGCTTTCGGCTAGTGGGCGCAGCAGCATTCTGAACATGGAATTGGACCTGACGATTGTTATAATGGGAAACGGCTATGTGATTATGCAATTAGGTGATAATATAATTAATTGTTACTGTTTTTAACCTTCTATGTCAGAGGTCCTCAAATTAAGGTCCGGGGGCCGTATATGGCCCTCCAAGGTCATTTACCCGGCTCTCACTCAGAGTCAACCTAAGTCTGAAATGACTTGAAAGCACACAACAACAACAACAATCCTATCTCATCATCCAAAAGCAGGCCCACACTTCCCACTGAAATACTAGTAAGTTTATGTTTGTTAAAACTGTTCTTCATTTTAATTATTATACTGTTTTAAAGTATTTTTGCACTACAAATAAGATATGTGCAGTGTGCACAGGAATTCATTGATGTTTTTTCAAATTATAATCCAGCCTTCCAGGATTTGAGGGACTGTGACCTGGCCCTTGGTGTAAAAAGTTTGAGGACCCCTGTTCTATCTATTTATGATTTTATATTGGAATTTATTGATATTGTGGCATCAAATTGCTGCCTATGTTCGCCGCTCTGAGTCCCCCTTCAGGGCTTGAGAAGGGCGGGGTAAAAATGCGGTAAATAAATAAATAAATTTCCCTCTAGTGATTAATGAATAATAATAATAATAATAATAATAAAAAACTTTATTTATACCCCGCTCCATTACCCCCAGGGGGACTCGGTGCGGCTTACATGAGGCCACGCCCATCAATATAGTACATACATTATAAAACAAAAACATAACAATACCTGAAAATAAAATACATAAAATGCAAAAAATCAATATAATAATCGAAACAACAGTATAAAAACAAACAATTAGAAACAAAAGATTTCACTGGGCAGGGCAACATCCAAGGATAAGATTTTAAAACACTGGGAGGTAGGACCATGTAAAATTATCAGGATGAGGATCTGAGTAAGGGAGGATTTAATTGCAGAACTATAGATAAAGTGCTTCTAAGGACATTTTGTGAAAAGTTTGGTCAGGGAGTATCTAATATTCAATCACTGAAGGCACATTGGAATAGCCAGGTTTTCAGATTCCTCCTGAAGTTTGCCAGCATGGGGGCTTGCCTAATATCTCTGGGGAGTGAGTTCCAGAGCCGGGGGGCCACCACAGAGAAGGCCCTCTCTCTCGTCCCCGCGAGTCGCATTTGAGAAGCAGGCGGGAGTGAAAGAAGAGCCTCTCTGGAAGATCGAAGAGATTGTGTGGGTTCGTAGATGGAAATTTGGTTGCGCAGGTAAGTGGGTCCCAAACCATTCAGGGCTTTGTAGGTCAAGACCTGCACCTTGAATTGGGCCTGGAAAATAAACGGCAGCCAGTGGAGCTCCTTAAACAGGAGGGTTGACCACTCTCTGTAATTCGCCCCACTTAATAATCTGGCTGCCGCCCACTGGACCAATTGGAGTTTCCGGGCCGTCTTCAAGGGCAGCCCCACGTAGAGTGCATTGCAATAATCCAATCTAGAGGTAAAGAAGGCGTGGACCACCATGGCCAGATCTGACTTCATGAGGTACGGTCGCAGCTGGCGCACGAGCTTCAATTGTGCGAATGCCCTCCCAGCCACAATGAGCCAGGAACTACAAATGCTGCTACACAACCAACCACAGTGTTTCACCCTTTTCTTTTCCATTCCACCCATCTTTCCAACGGAGAAGGATGTTTACCTATTTGCCTCCGGTGAACAACACTAAATCCCTTGGATTCTTTCTCAGGGGATAACTTTGATTTGCTGATGTCTGATGAAGACACAGGAGCCTCATCCCGATCCAGGGCACTACTTGGTATCAGTGGTTGGCCATCAGCTATGCTTTCTGGTGAGGGACTACGTGAACCGGAGACGTTTTTTAACGTCTCCACAGGAGGAGGAGAAGGAAGGTAAAAATCATCTTCAGTAATCCAGTTTGTTTTCTGTTGGGGAACAAAGAGAGAAGAAACTGATTATTTAAGGCAACCATCACAGTATCCCCTAATCTGGACGTTCTGCTGAATACTGCACAGCTAGACTGATACAGAAAAGTGGTGTAGTGGTTTGAACATTGAACTTGACTCTGGAAACCAGGATTTGATTCTTTGCTCAGCCTTGAAAACCCACTGGGTGACCCTGGTTGAGTCACCCATTCTTAGCCACAGAAAGCCCTGTGATAGCTTTACCTTAGGGTCATCATAAAGCAGAAATGGCTTGAAAGCACACAATAACAACTAACATAGAACAGGGCAAGATGCCAGAACAAGCATAGTCCCTGCCTAAAGGAAATATGCTTATAGCCAGACCAGGGTCAAACTAGTATTTAGTGAAAAGAAAAGTTGTAGAAAAAGAAATGTGAGCCGCCCTGAGTCCTCTTTGGGGTGAGAAGTGCAGGATATAAATGCAGTAAATCTATATAAATAAAAATGTAATGTTCATTTGTGGGATTAACATAACTCAAAAACCACTGTGCAAATTGACACCAAATTTGGACACAAGACACCTATCAGGCCAACGAGTGACCATCACTCATAAAAACACTAAAAAAAAAACACACAGCAGAAGAGACTTAAAAAGCCAAAAAACAAAATATACATTACAACGCACGCGCAAGACCACATATAAACACAAACACACATATAAACGAATATATACACACACTAACACATATACACAGACTGAGCAACAACAACGCATGACAGGGGACGGCTAGTAAATAAATAAAAGTAAATAGGGATTTAGAACAAAGGTTGCATTCAAGTGGACTGCTCTTCTGAAGAGTTAATAAACCAAATGGAGTTTCTTTAATCAATGATAATATACTTGTAATTACCTGATGATGTGAAGAAACAACTTAGAAGGTATCTTCTATGTCACTATTATTATATACAGTGATTTGAACAGCCAACCTTTTGGTCAGCAAGTTCAGCAGCTCAGCGGTTTAACCCACTGCGCCACCCAGAGGGCCCCAAATATTCAAATACTATATAAAACTCTACAAACACAGTTAGTTCAAGTTCAAGAACTCATTAAGCAACTTGAACTAACTGTGTTTGTAGAATTTTATATAGTTTTTGAATGTTTGGGGACCCCTGATGGCTCAGCTGGTTAAACCACTGAGCTGCTGAACTTGCTGACCAAAAGGTTGGCGGTTCAATCATTTGTGAAGTGCTTTTGCCCTTGATGCAAAATGCTAGACTCGGTTTTCAATGAAAATCTAATTGTGGTGCCAAGGAATTTCAAATATGTATTTAGCTCTATATGGAATTTTTTTTTGTTTACTTAATCTTGCAGGACACATAATTAATATGCCTATTTTAGAGATGAGCAGCCTGAGGCAGAGACAACACCCACGGCTTCCCAGTGAGTCAAGGCCTAAGAATTTATACCTTGAAATATCAGGAGAACACAATTTAGGTGCAGGACCAAATACATTAGTTGTCTTGAGAATAGAAGAACCTAGGGATGCTCATATACAAATTTTAAAGGGTTCTCTGATAACAGGCCTTTTTCCCAGGATGGCCCAGGAAGGATGACATCACATGTTGTGCAGCGTGACATAAAGACTGGATGACCAGCAGACGTGAGAAAAGCCTTGTCTGATGGTACTTTGTGGCTGGAGTTGTGGGGGAAATTGAATCCAAGACAGGAAGTCCTGATTTAGTTGCAAGGAAAAGCACTTCCTGACGTGTAAAGTAACTGCTTCATAAACAGAACTGATTCACTGCCCGAGTCCTTATTTACAGGATGAAGCAAACATGCCAACTCTCCCACTTTTAACTTTGTAAAGTCAGTGAATGCAGGATCAGCTACCAAGATGGAAAAACTCTCACCTGATGTTCTCAAATTACAGAGTCTCTCTCTCTCTCTCTCTCTCACACACACACACACACACACACACTAGCTATACCTGCCACACGTTGCTGTGGCCAACCTTCCCTCCCACTTTCTCTCCTTTCTTTCTCTCCTTCCTTCCCTTTTTTCTTTCCTTCTCTCCTTCCTTCCTTCTCTTCTTTTCCTTCCCCCGCTTTTCTTTCCCTTCCTCTTTTCGCCCTTTCTTCCTTTTCCACCTATTCTTGGACTGCAACTTCCAGCAGTCCTCCTGATCGATCTACCTACCTACCTATCTATCTCTATCTAATCTATCTATCTGGAGGATTGCTGGGAGTTGCAGTCCAGGAATAGGAAATTGGAAATATGCAGAGATTGGGATGCTCTCAAAGAGATCCAAGGAGAAGAAAGCTTGCAGCTTGGAAGCAGTGCATTTGGATCATCCTCCTCTCCTAAAGGGCCTGGTCTAGGGGATGCTGGGAGCTGTAGTCCGGGAGAGTGTGCATATGCTTTTGTGTGTTTTCTTTGCCGGGGAGTCGTTTTTGCGCATGCGCTGTAGTGTCTTTTTGCCTTTTTGGCTTTTTAAGTCCCTTCCACTGTATTTTTCAGTGTTTTTATGAGTGGTGGTCACTCATTGCCTTGATAGGTATATTGTGTCCAAATTTGGTGTCAATTCATCCAGTGGTTTTTGCTAATCCCACAAATGAACATTGCATTTTTACATATATACTAGCCGTCCCCTGCCACACATTGCTGTGGCCCACATGCGGGTTCTGTGTGGGAGGTTTGGCCCAATTCTATCGTTGGTGGGGTTCAGAATCCTCAGTGATTGTAGGTGAACTATAAATCCCAGCAACTACAACTCCAAAATGTCAAGATTCTATTTTCCCCAAACTCCATCAGTATTCACATTTGGGCATATTGAATATTCATTCCAAGTTTGGTCCAGATCCATCATTGTTTGAGTCCACAGTGCTCTCTGGATGTAGGTGAACTACAACTCCAAAACCCAAGGGCAATGCCCACCAAACCCTTCCAGTATTTTCTGTTGGTCATGGGAGAACTGTGTGCCAAGTTTGGTTCAATTCCATCGTTGGTGGGGTTCAGAATGCTCTTTGATTGTAGGTGAACTATAAATCCCAGCAACTACAACTCCCAAATGACAAAATCAAATTTTTTTGAGTGAAGGACATACATTGGGTTGTTAGGTGTCTTGTGTCCAAATTTGGTGTCAATTCGTCCAGTGGTTTTTGAGTTCTGTTAATTCCACAAACTAACATTACATTTTTATTTATATAGATAGAGAGAGAGAGGGAGGGGGGAGAGAGAGAGGGAGGGAGAAGGGAGGGAGAGAGGGAGAGAGGGAGAGAGGGAGAGAGGGAAGAGAGGAGAGAGAGAGAGAGAGAGAGAGAGAGAGAGAGAGAGAAAGGGCTATAGCATCCCCCTTTCACCATCCCTGTACAAGGCACCCCTCCATTCCACTCTGGCTCAAGAGTCAGAATTGTGTTGCCGCTGAACAGCCACTTTGAATGGTTTTGGGGGTATGTTCCTTACTTTCTCCACCTAAATACTTTTTTTTTTTGTTTTCCTGCATATCCTGAAGTCCCTCAAGCCTATCAATATGTCCCACTTGTGTCTGAATGGTGCCCTTTGGCTGCATACAGACTGAAAGATCTGTCTCACTATATATAGTGATGGCTAACAAACACAATTCTTACCAAAGAGGCTGTTGGTGAGAGGAGTTTTCCTGTCCCTGGGTGGCTTCCCTCTAGGTCATTAGTGTGGCTGTTCTCATCTTTAGCTCCTCTCATGGCAGTTGGATGAGTCTGGGATGTGTCTGTTTCACTGAAGGGTGCTAACATTGGCTGATCAGTCTTGTTATCAACCACTGGTTCTATAGTTTTATGCGGGCTAATCCGACTTGGAAGCTGAGAAATTGTTGTTGGAAGAGGCAGTTTGATGTCAGCAAGGCATTCGGCGGTTTCATTTCGAGGAAGCTGTGCAGTGCAAGAACGGGTGACACGAGTACAACGGTGCTCTAGTGGGCAAGGTTCAGGTAAAGGGTGAATTTCCTTCACTCCTGTGGATTCTGACTCTCTCTGGGCTTTGTTGAATTCCGCTAACACCCTTGAAGGAAAAAAAAGAAAGAAAGAAATTAAAGCAAAATGCATGAAGGGAAAAAGTGACTCTGGTAATTACATCTCAGGCATGTGGCATTTGGGTAAGCCTTGAATTATCACATGGCCATCAGTCACTTCGTAGACTTTACCGCATGAGGTTGCGATCCCACAGTATTTCTGCAAGCTGGGATAGGAGTTACTTACCAGTATTATCACCCTTCCTATTGCATTCCTGCTGGCATCAAGCAACTGCAATGCTTCAGCATATAATAATAATAATAATCATCATCATCATCATCATCATCTTTATTTATACCCCGCCGCCATCTCCCCAAAGGGAGCTCGGAGCGGCTGACATGAGTACAACAAAATAATATCACAGTAAAAATAAACCAATAAAAAATAAATACAAAATAACATAATAGAAAATCAAACACTGTGGGCGGGCCAAATGTATGACATAAAATGATAAAACTCTGGATGAGATAGCAATGAAAAGTGCAATTTGTAGGGAAGGAGCTTGTAGGGGGCTGAACAGTGGAGTTAAACTTTCAATAGGGTGGGTGAAAGTGCAATATGGGGAGAAACAACAAAAATGGAATATGTAGTCACTCGTAGCTTTGCCTTCCCATTGTGTTGCTTTCCTTGTCGTATGCTGTAGATGTTTTGAATTACAACTCCGAGCACTGTGGTTCTCAACCTGTGGGTCCCCAGATGTTCTGGCCTTCAACTCCCAGAAAACCTAACAGCTAGTAAACTGGCTGGGATTTCTGGGAGTTGTAAGCCAAAACACCTGGGGACAGGCCCGTAGCCAGGATTTTATCGGGGGGGGGGGCTGAGTTTGATTCGGGGGGGCTGAGTCTGAGTGAAAGAGGGTCTACCCTAGCAAACCTTTTGTATCGTTACCCCAATACCCCCATGCATATGGGATATATTGAGTATAGTGATCAGATCATGATATGAATAAACATAGCAGTTTAAATAATGCACCAGTAAGGCCTTCTCGCAGACCACCATCAGAATTTGGGGGGGGGCTGAAGCCCCCAAGCCCCCCCCCCCCCCGGCTACATGCCTGCCTGGGGACCCACAGGTTGAGAACCACTGTCCTAGCACCTTTTAACATTGGTCATACTGGTGGGGAATGATGGGAATTATACTTAATTTGAAGGGCACCAGGCTGAGCAACAGTGTCAAAAACATTCAGAAGGGAATGTTGAACAACCACCTTGAATGAATTTAAGAAAAAACTCCGAGAAATGTCAAAGGGCCTTTCTACACTGCCATATAATCCAGAATATCAAGGCTGATCATCCACATTATATGTTTTGAACTGGATTAACTGAGTCTACGCTGCCATATAATCCACTTCAAAGCAGATAATCTAGATTTTATGTAGCTGTGAAGAAGGGGCCACAGAGGAAGAAAAATCTCACAGAGGATTAGTTGGAATGGACTACAAGGTCTATCTAGGCCAACCTAGATAGTTTAAGATCATCAGGAGAGGCCCTGCTCTCGATCCCATCACTCTCGCAAATGCGGTTGGTGGGGACAAGAGACAGGACCTTCTTGGCAGTGGCCCCCCCGTCTGTGGAACTCTCTCCCTAACGACATCAGGTTGGCCACCTCCCTCCTGTCCTTTAAAAGACAACTGAAGACCTGGCTCTGGGGCCAGGCGTTCGATTAGAGGCCAGCGGCAATAGGAAAAGGAAATTTGGATTTTGCGACATGGATTCTCCCGGCTCGGCTTGGTTTTTACTGGCATGTTTATCTATTAATTTATTGTTAAATTTTACTGATGATGTACAATGTTTTAAAATGATTTTATTGTGAATTATAATTTTATGGTATTTATGCTGTTAGCATCCCCTGATGCTCATGTGAGGCTGCACTGAGTCCCCCTTGTGGGGAGAAGGGCGGGATAGAAAAATATTAAATAAATAAATAAATAAACCCCTGAAATACAACAATGCGCAACCAAAGCACTCCTGAAAGATGCCTATCTATCCTCTGTTTAAAGACCTCCAAAGAAGGGGAGTCCACCGTCCTCTGTTGCAATCTATTTCTCTATTAAATAACTCCTATAGCAAAGGAATTATTCCAATGTTTAGGTATAATCCTGACACCTGTTATATATAGGATGCAGAAGGGGAGGTGAGTTGATTTTCACATTTTGGTCTCGCAAACCAGAATTGTTCCAGGAGTTGACTGTGATGTCTCTAGACAGTCCATGTTTCTTAACAGGTTTGGGTTCTGGGTTTGAGCCTGCCACTTTTGGACCTCAGCAAGCGAGAGTCCAAAACTGGCAGGCTCAAACCCAGAACCTCAATCAATGGCTGATACCAAATGAGAGACTCCCCTGGGCACACAGAAAACTGGGCAACTTGGAAGGCACTGAACAGACTGCGCTCTGGCACCACAAGATGCAGAGCCAACCTCAAGAAATGGGGCCACAAAGTGGAATCCACGACATGCGAGTGTGGAGAGGAGTAAACCACTCGTTTACAATGCAGCCTGAGCCCTGCCACATGCACAATGGAGGACCTTCTTGCAGCAACACCAGAGGCACTCCAAGTGGCCAGCTACTGGTCAAAAGACATTTAATCAACTACCAAACTCACAAATTTTGTATTTTGTCTGTTTGTTTGCTTTGTTCTGTTAGAAATGTAATATAATTGACTGGTTGCCCTGACACGACATTCTATGACATTCATTGTATACTCACTTTTCAAGGGACTGGTCCAGGTCTTTTCTTGTTGCTACAACATGTTCAGAGTCATCTGCCTTGGGCTCCCCACATCTATCAACGCTTTGAGTACAGGTAGATGTCCCAGGTAGAAGACTGTCAGAGCCCAGGCTGGAAGAGAGCTGTGACGAGCTTGTCGTGCTGATGCTTAAGTTGGATGCTGTAAGTCTGTTCCCTTGTCGGCTTTTAGTGACAGGCAAGATGGCTGAGTGTGCTTCGACTTCATCGGAGCCCGAAGATTGGGAGAGAGAGCCCAGGGATTCCTTCCTCCGGACTGTCAAGCCCACAAGAGGCTCTGGCAGTTCTGAGGCCGGGCAAAGGCCCGACAAGGATAATGGCGTGATGGTCCATTCATTCAGAATTGCAGACTTGTAAGAGAGGTCAAAAGCCAGGGAGGACAAGCCCTGCAGGTAAGTGAGGAGGAACTCAACCTCCTCCATGTCCAGAAGCAGAGCTGGTGAATGGTAATACTCATAGAGGTGGGCCTTTTCATGGAGCAAGAGTTTTAGGTAGCACTCCATCAGGCCATCATTTAGGGCCAATCTGAGCCACGCACGGCAGCGGCCCACATCTGTGTTGATGAAGTCCAAGTGTTCCAGTTCAGAAATGATGTTTCTGGAGAGAGAAAAAAAGTGGAATCAAAAAATAGAAAAGAAAGAAAGAGACAAGGACTGCAAAACCTGCCAATCCCAAGAACAATGGAATGTGGATTTGGATATGTCAGAAAGGGGGGTGGGGCACATTTTCAAAGAATCTAAAGCAGGGTCCTCAAACTTTTAAAACAGAGGGCCAGGTTACAGTCCTTCAAAGTGTTGGAGGGTTGGGTTATAATTTAAAAAAAAACATTCCTATGCACACTGCACATGTCTTATTTGTAGTGCAAAAAACACTTAAAAACAATCCAATTATTAAAATGAAGAACAATTTTAACAAATATAAGCTTATTAGTATTTCAATGGGAAGTGTGGGCCTGCTTTTGGCTGATGAGATTGGATTGTTGTTGTTGTGTGTTTTCTTTTTTTAATTGTATTTTTTATTATTTTATCATGGTTTAATACATTTGTTATGCATTGTTTGTTTTACAGCAGATACATATTATTCAATACAACCTACCATACTTTTGGCCATCTAGTGTTATTTTTCTGTTTATACATATTATCTATCCCTCAGCGCTGTGTTCCCCTCCCAAGCCACAGTTTTTACATATCATCTGTCCAAAATTTCAATTCTTCTTGTGAAGGAAACTTTCCTTCTTTATTTTTTAATCCTTTTTCAATAAATTTTCTCCATACATCATCAAAATCACTTTGTTTCCAAATACCTCTTTTAACTTTTAATATACATGTCAGCTTATCATTTATTGCCAATTTCCATAATTCCTTGTACCACTCCTCTATTTGTATATTTATTTCTTTTTTCCATTTCCTTGCTATAAGCAGTCTTGCTATCTATATATATATAAAATGCTCTGTGCATAATAAGTACCTTAAAAACAAAAGAACCAATGAACAAAATCACACCAAATTTGGCAACAAAAGGTCTCACTACACAAGGAGTGACCATCACTCAAAAAATTATGATTTTGTCATTTGGGAGTTCTAGTTGGTGGGATTTATAGTTCACCTACAATCAAAGAGCATTCTGAACTCCACCAACAAAGGAATGGAACCAAACTTGGCACACAGGCCTCCCATGGCCAACAGAAAATACTAGCAGCGTTTGGTGGGCATTGACTTTGAGTTTGGGAGTTGTAGTTCACCTACATCCAGAGACTACCATGGATTCCAACAATGATGGATCTGGACCAAACTTGGCACGAATATTCCATATGCCCAAATATGAACACAGATGGGGTTTAGGGGAAATAGACCTTGACATTTGGGAGTTGTACTTACTGGGATTTATAGTTCACCTACAATCAAAGACCATTCTGAATGAACCCCACGAATGACAGAACTGGGGCAAACTTCCCACACAGAACTCCCATGACCAACAGAAAATACTTAAGGCCATCCGGTCCAACTCCCTTCACCAGGGCAAGAAAACATAATCAAAGCCCTCCTGATAGAGAGCCATCCAGCTATAGATATAGATAGATATATATTATTCACACACACCCAGATAAAGTATTATAGATGTGAAAGGGACTCCTAAAGGTGGACAATGATATGTTGCATGTTCCAGAGTAGGCAAGCCAGACAATCTCTACGTCAACACTGTCAAAGAAACACCAAGAAATACTGGGCTACAGCAACGCATGGCAGGGGACAGCTAGTTGTTAATAAATTTGTTATCGCTTCTTTATCCTCTTTTTTCAATTGTTTATTATTATATAATGATAATAAAGCTATACTAGGACTTCTTTCTATTTTAAGTTGTTGTGTGTTATCAAGTCGTTTCAGACTTAGGTTGACCCTGAGTGAGGGCTGGATAAATGACCTTGGAGGGCCATATTCGGCCCCCGGGCCTTAGTTTGAGGACCCCTGATCTAAAGGAATATAGAAATTACCATAAGAAAACAATAGGGAATTGTGAGACAAGACAGATATCTGTACAATTTCATTATTGTTTGATACAGATTCAACACCGAATATCAAAGTCAGGGACATCCATGCCACTATATATCTGTATTCTATACATGAGTGTGAAAACCTGGACAGTGAAGAGAATAAACTCATCTAAAATGTGGGGCTGGAGGAGAGTTTTATGAGACAAATAAATAACTCTTAGCACAAATCAATCATAAGCTCTCACTAGAAGTTGAGATGACTGAACAGAGGCTATTGTACTTTGGACATATCATGACATGATGGAAAATATAATGTTCAGTAAAAAAAAAAAAGAAGACAGTAGGTGAAGTAGATCACATTACAGATGTAAAATAGCCATGGCTATTTTGACTGACTTGAAGAGTAGTTAATTATTTTCCCGGCTTGATTTTTGGTTTTACTGGCACACTAAGTTATTGTTAAATGAATTTATTGGTGATTCGTATAATGTTTTAAAATGTTTTTTAATGTTTTAATTGCAATTCTTATGGTATATATGTTGCTAGCATTGTTGATGCCTATGTGAGACCGCCCTGAGTCCCCCTTGTGGGGAGAAGGGCGGGATAGAAATGTATGATTTAGATATATATATATATAATCATGTCTCATGCTCAAAGGGATACCATAAGTTGAAGGAACTTTGACAACTAATAACAGTGACAACTGTTTCAGAACTTTAGGGAGGAAGGAACTTTTTGTTTACAACTCTCAGAATTCAACAACCACATGGCTGTGCCGGCTGTAGGATTTTATGATTTGTAGTTCCAAAGTTCCTTTCTCTAACCTCTGATCTCTAATCACTATAAACCCCAAACCTGGACTCTTTCTTGTTTGGAAAGAGTCCAGGGCTTATCCCCAGCTGTATCCCTTTAAGTTACCAATCTACAGTTAGTCTCTGTTTACAGAAGTCTCACTTCTGCCTCATTCCCCACTTCCTCTCCACTCCAAAGTGATATGAAAGCACAAACAGTCTGTTCAGTTTGTCGACAGTAACACTCTCATCTCACAAAATAACAGCCTCACCTGTGTGTGACGGATTTTAGGAGGGCCCAGAATACTGGCTGGGGAAGGGGCAGGCGACCCCCATGTTTCCTCCCTTTGGTTCCACTTCCAGCTTTGATGTGCTTGGCCTTCAAACCATGCACAAACACTGCCTCTAGTGCACAGCAGAGGGTGTTGGCGTCCCCGTCATCACTGGTGACAAGAGCATCAGAGGTCACGTAATGTTTCTGCAGGGCCTTGATGGAGTTCACCAGGTGCTTCTTGATCAACTACAGTAACACAGAAGACAGACTATATTAGGTCAGGTCAAAATAAGAGAATTCCTTCCCTGCTCCCAATGTTATTGAGTATAATGCTATGGAGACTGGTAGGACTTCCACTAATGTGATTTGTGTCAAGCCCTATGAATAGCAGCTCAAGAAAGATATTTGACAAGATATCTGAAACCAAGGCTTTTACACAGAAAACACTATTTATGTACTAATGTATTTCTTCAATTCTAAAACACACTTTCCCCTGATGTATGCATCTCTAAAACAGGGTGCATCATAGAATTGCGGGTGTATGTGTGATATATATATATATATATATATATATATATATATATATATATATAGTCTTATTTTCTGTTGGTGAAACTGAAATTACTGTGTGTCTTAGAGCACTACAATTCCATGTGAACTGCCACCACACTCCAAGATAGCAGACTGAATTTTATATTTTATTTTCTCAGTTAAGAAAGGCTGGTAACAACAAAAAACTTTTTTCTGGGTTGTTGTAGGTTTTTTCGGGCTATAGGTCACCTCACTACCTCTGAGGATGCTTGCCATAGATGCAGGCGAAACGTCAGGAGAAAATGCCTTTAGAACATGGCCATATAGCTCGAAAAAACCTACAACAACCCAGTGATTCTGGCCATGAAAGCCTTCGACAACTTTTTTTCTACTTCATGTGAACCTATGCTTTCTGGATATTGTGGAAGGTCCTTGATTCAGCATCCACAAACACGCCTATAGCCACAAGGGATTTTTATAGCTCCAAATATGTAGAAATGTATTTATTTACGGCATTTATATGCCACCCTTCTCACCTCGATGGCGACTCAGAGCGGCTTACAAGATATATACACGTAAAATGTATGATATTATTAGCATAGCATAATATCAGTATTATAAATTACTATATTGTACTACACCATTATATTGTAATATTATTAGTAATATTACATGTAATATAAAATTATAACATTGTATTATTATTAGTAGTAGTATATTGTATTGCATTATAATATTATAAATATTATATGACTGTACAATATAATATATTATATTATATCATTAGCATAGCACAGGAGACAAGATGGAACTGTCTTCCTGGCCCCTTTTCTCTTCACTCTGGCCCAGAGCAGCAGTTGGTGCTGGGAGAGAGACTCCCAACTGATAATAATAATAATAATAATAATACTTTATTTATACCCTGCCACCATCTCCCCAAGGGGACTCGGATCGGCTTACATTGTATAAACATATAATATTTATAATATTATAATGTAATGCAATATAATAATACTACTACTACTAATAATATGATATTATAATTATATATTTATATTACATGTAATATTACTAATAATATTACAATATAATTGGTATAGTATAATATAGCAATATTTAAAACTGATGTTGTACTATGCTGATAATATAGTGTATTGTATGTATATATACCTTGTAAGCCTCTCTGAGTCCCCTTCGGGGTAAGAAGGGCGGCATATAAATGTATCTGGTAAGAGGGTTTTAGAAGAAGTAAAGGGAGAGCAACCCAACGAGTAGTTAAAGTGTTTCTGAGGACATTTTGCTGGGAATTATTTCCCAGCAAAATGATGAAATTCCCATCAGGGTCAGAAAATACCCCTAGTTGTGGCACTCCGTTGCATTTTTAAGTAATGTGTTTGGATGCAAGTCAAGAAGAATTACACTCAACCCTGAAATTAATCTCCAATTCTTTGTTTTCCTTTTAATATCTTCATCCTAAAGCTGATCATACCAAAAGCCCCAATGGTCAGATTTGAGCTTTGAAATAGTCACATTTCAATTCTAATTGTAAATTTACCAGTTCAATTTGAGCCATATTTTTGCATACCTTGTCCGAGGGGGAGAGAAAACCTGATATATTTATTTACCGCGCTGCTTACTGTATGATAACCTTATAATCATATGTCTGCCTAAGTCATCGGAACCATTTTGGAATATCCCGATTTAGTAAAGATTTAGTTAAACTCCTTTTATCCAATCAGGAAAAGCAGATCACCTAAAGAGTTTCTTTATTTGCCTTATGTGATGTGAATTGCTTGAGACAATTGTCATTGCTTGTCCTAGTGATAACCTAACTCAGGAAAAGGGAATGTGTGGCTTTTCAGCAATTGTAGGATAGCAAAACCCAGCATGACCACTGGCTGTGTTGTCTGGGGCTGATGATGTTCCAGTCCAATCTTATCTGGAGAGGGATACACTTTGCTCTCCTCATCTAATCACTCTTCCAGACAGTGGGCTCTTTACATTAGTCATGAGAAGGCACTGAGAGCTATTCCATCTTTTGTTTCATACTGAACCTGAGGCAGAAACCTGAAAGTCTAATCTGAAATAAATCTGCATCTGGCTTCAGGCTCGGTGACAGATGCTTCCTCATTCCACCACTTTATGATTAACTCTTTCTATATTGAATGTCAGTAAGCATTTTACCCGTTTCTTTGTTCATGTTGCTTAATTATACTATTAAGGAACAAACTGGATAATTTTAAAAGTTTTGACCATGAATAAGTATAATTTTCAAGCCACATGCAACCCTTACGCTATTTGAGGCTCACAGTTTTTGATTTATTTGTACAGGTTGCGCATCTCTTATTCGTAACTATGGAATCTGAAATACTCCAAAATTGTCCACATGTAAGGTTGAGACACCGATGCCTTTGGCCCCTTCTACACTGCCATATAATCCAGATTATCAAAGCAGCTAATCCACATTATCTGCTTTGAACTGGATTATCTGAATCTACACTGCCATATAATTCAGTTCAAAGCAGATAATCCAGATTTTATATGGCAGTGCCTCAATGGAAACAGTTTGCTTCATGCACAAATTATTGTATTGTTACTTTTGGAATCTATATAAATAAAAATGTAATTTTCATTTGTGGGATTAACATAAACTCAAAAATCACTGACACGAAATTTGGACATAAAACACCTAAAATTCCGAGTGTCCATCACCCATAAACACACACACGCACAAAACCCCAGTGGAACAGACTTTAAAACCCCCAAAATACATCATATATACATATACACATACACTCATATACATATGCGCAAATTCATACACACACACATACATATGCATAAACACACACAAATATACACACGTATACATGCACACATACATATATACATATACACATGCACACACATATACATATCCACATACATACATATATACATACAAATATGCATATAGACAAGCACACATATATACACAATATACATGTACACATATAAACACACAAATACACAAATAATACACATATAGACACACACACATATACACACACATATACACACACAAAACACAGGCTGGGCCACAGCAACGTGTAGCTGGGGACGGCTAATATGTGTATAAAATGTAGATGAAACGTCTTTCTACAGCGAGCTACAATTCAGGAACTAGTCAAAACCGAAAGCCTCTTCACATCTGCTTATCTTCTCTTGCTGAGACTGGCTACTCCCTTCTGTTCTCAGCAAGAACAAACCTTATCTTACTTTTTTCAAGTTCAAAGTATAAACATTTCTGCACAGCATTTCTAATTCACAGTGGCATCCATATTTGCAATACATAGAAGCATATTTAAAACACATACATAACTAAATTAATCCTGACACATAGGCTGGTGGAAGAAATCACATTTTTTCCACTGAATCCCCAATGGGATGAAAAGGAGTCATAGAGGAGAATTTCCCAAATGTATTATTATCAGTTCAAGGTTTCACCCAACTTCTTCTTTGCAAACAGCCTGGAAAGTGTCTCATAACCCCATGGCCAAGGAAATCTCAACCTCCATCGGCTCACCTGAGTAACTTCCTGAGACTGGCATCCATTCTCAGCTGTGTGGTTGGAATGCATGTCTTATCTCTGCTTTTGCCTATCTCTGGAATCACATGTTCACCTGGGGAGAAGCAAACAAATAGGAAGATGGCTTAGATAAATTAGACCCTGAGGGGAACGGAGGAACCAAGTAGTTTCTGCTTTGAATTACATTACCCGGGCTGGATCTACACTGCCATAAAAAATCTAGATTATCTGCTTTGAACTGAATTATATGGCAATGCAGACTCATATAATCTAGTTCAAAGCAAATAATGTGGATTATCTACTTTGATAATCTTGGTTATATGGTAGTGTAGATCCAGCCCCATTCCAGCTGAAGTTTTTGATTGATCCCAGGGAGGCCTAGAAGAAATGGGTTATAAATATACAGTGAAACACAACAGTCAATCAAAGAATCTGATGGGCTACAAAGGAAAATGCATGTGTTGGGGACTTTCGAAGAAAGGCTCTGTATATAGATGCTTTTGTACTAATATTAAAAAAGTCTAAGCAAAATTGGGGAGATGGTGTACTCGGTTTTAAAGAAAAATGAAAATTTCATAGGAACTTTGGGCATGCAGAAAACAGTGGTATATTATCATCATTTGAATTCTCAAATAACCTAAATGTCAAAACATGGACATAATATATTTTATGCCCATGTTTGATGTTTTTGTATAGTTTAATGGCTTTAATGCATAGTTATATTTTAATGAGTTAGATATGATATGTATGTGCAGTGGGTTAAACTGCTGAGCTGCTGAACTTGCTGATCAAAAGGTCGCAGGTTCGAATCCAGAGAGTGGCATGAGCTCTCACTGTTAGCCCTAGCTTCTGTCAACCTAGCATTTTGAAAATATACAAATGTGAGTAGATCAATAAGTGGGAAAGTAGCGGCGCTCCATGCAGTCATGCAGGCCACATGACCTTGGAGATGTCTACAGACAACGCTGGCTCTTCGGCTTAAAAAATTGAGATGAACACCAACCCCCAGAGTCAGACACAACTGGACTTAATGTTAGGGGAAAACCTTTACCTTTATGTTATGTATTGCTTTTCTAGTATGTTTGGCATTGATTTTTTGCCATTTATTATGTACACCGCTTTCAGTCCCCCCAAGGGTGAGTAAAGCGGTACAGAAATGCTAAATAAAACAGTTATCTAACAGAAATATATAACATGACYTTAACAGCACTCACACTCTACCATATCATTAAGAAAACATGGGGGGGGGGGGGGAAGGGTAGACAAATTTATGGTGGGAAATGCTATCAATGGCTAGTACTCATGATGGCTATCCATTATCTCCACWATCAGAGAGAAAGAAAACTCTGAAAACGAATTGCCGGGGAACACAAACAGGGTAGTTTCTGTATTCACATATCTCTTTTGTGTTTTCATAAGCATTTGGTGGACCATTGTAAGAACAGGACAAAGGAGTAGATTTTTTCTGTGTGTCAGGAGCTACTTGAGAAACTGCAAGTCGCTTCTGGTGTGAGAAAATTGATTGTCTGCAGGGACGTTGCCCAGGGGTGCCTGGATATTTTGATGTTTTACTGTCCTTGTGGGCAGCATCTCTCATGTCTCCACATGGGGAGCTGAAGCTGACGGAGGGAGCTCATCCGTGCTCTCCCCGGATCCAAACCACCGACCTGTCAATCTTCAGTCCTGCTGGCACAAGGTTTTAGCCTATTATGCCACCCGAGGCTCCTACCGTAGTCCTTTGATCTGACTCATAAAATATACACCTTAAAACATTTTGATCCCACAAACACAATATAGTTTTCTTAGGCAAGAAATAATCTATATAAATAAAAATGTAATGTTCGTTTGTGGGATTAACAGAACTCAAAAACCACTGGACGAATTGCCACCAAATTTGGCCACAAGACACCTAAAACCCAAGAAGTGACATTCACACAAAAATGTGAGTTTGTCATTTGGGAGTTGTAGTTGCTGGGATTTATAGTTTATATACAATCAAAAAGCATTCTGAACTCCACCAATGATGGAATTGAACCCAATTTGGCACACAGGGCCCCCATGACCAACAGAAGGGTTTGGTGGGCATTGACCTTGAGTTTGGGAGTTGTAGTTCACCTACATCCAGAGAGCACTGTGGATTCAAACAATGATGGATCTGGACCAAACTTGGCACGAATATTCCATATGCCCAAATATGAACAAAAATGGAGTTTGGGGGAAATAGACCTTGACATTTGGGAGTTGTAGTTACTGGGATTTATAGTTCACCTACAATCAAAGAGCATTCTGAACCCAACCAACGACAGAATTGGGGCAAACTTCCCACACAGAACCCCCATGACCAACAGAAAATACTTAAGGCCATCCAGTCCAACTCTCTTCACCAGGGCAAGGAAAACGTAAACAAAGTCCTCCTGACCAAGAGCCATCCAGCCATAGATAATATAGATAGATCTATATGATTCATACACACAGAGAGATACAGTATGATAGATTTGAAAGGGACCCCTAAAGATGGACAATTCTATGTTGCATGTTCCAGAGTAGGCAAACCAGACAATCTCTACATCAACACTGACAAAGAAACAAGAAATACATATACTAGAAACCAACATTTTCTGATTACTTTATTTTCCAGAACACCAGACTGGGCCATTTATGCTTGATGATGACCCTAAGGTAAAACTATGATAGGTCTTTCTGTGGCTAAGAATGGGTGACTCAACTAGGGTCACCCAGTGGGTTTTCATGGCTGAGCAAAGAATCAAATCCTGGTTTCTAGAGTCGAGTTCAATGCTGAAACCACTACACCACTTTTCTATATCAGTCTACTGTATTCAGCAGAACGTCCAGATCACTGTAATGACTGCCTTAAATAATCAGTTTCTTTTCTCTTTGTTCCCCAACAGAAAACAAACTGGATTAATGAAGATGATTTTTACCTTCCTTCTCCTCCTTCTGTGGAGACGTTAAAAAACGTCTCCGGTTCACGTAGTCCCTCACCAGAAAGCATAGCCAGCCACTGATACCAAGCAGTGCTCTGGATCGGGATGAGGCTCCCGTGTCTTCATCAGACACCAGAAAATCAAAGTTATCCCCTGAGAAAGAATCCAAGGGCTTTAGTGTTGTTCACCGGAGGCAAATAGGTAAACATCTTTCTCCGTTGAAAAGATGGGTGGAATGGAAAAGTAAAGGGTTGTGTAGCAGCATTTGTGTAGCAGCATTTGTAGTTCCTGGCTCATTTTCCACAATATTATCATTTATTGTTTATTAATCACTAGATGGATTTCTTTTCTTTTCTTTTTTTTTCGGCGTGAGGGACTACAAGTGCTGGAATCAGCCTGCTAGTATGGCTAGTGAGATTCTAGGAGCTGTTACCCTAAAGAGGAACTTCTCAATGCTATCTGGATCTCTCAAAGGTGTCCTAAATTGTATTTATTTAGTCATTTACTTCAAATATTTGTACCCCACCCTTCTCAACCCCCTGGGGGTGAGGGGGGGCCTCAGGGCAGCTTCCAATTGTCAGCAATTTGATGCCTCAATATATCTATATAAATAAAAAATGTAATATTCATTTGTGGGATTAACATAACTCAAAAACCACTGGACGAATTGATACCAAATTTGGACACAATACACCTATCAGGCCAACGAGTGACCATCACTCATAAAAATGCAGCAGAAGAGACTTTAAAAGGGAAAAAATAAAAATACATTACAACACATGTGCAAAACTGTGTATATAAACGCAAACACACATATATATACATATACACAAATATATACACACACAAAGCAAATATACACACGAATTGACACCAAATTTGGACACAGTACCCCTACCAGGCCAACAAGTGACCATCACTCATAAAAATACAGCAGAAGAGACTTAAAAAGCAACCCCCCTCCCAAAAAAACCCCCAAAATACATTACAACACATGCACAAAACCACATATATACACATATATGAACACAGAAAACACATATACAGAGACTGGGCCACAACAATGTGTGCCAGGGGATGGCTAGTCATAAGTAATTTGTGTTTGCTTTCCTCAAAAATATAACCTACATGCCTGGAATTGCCTGATAGTCTCCCTTCCAAGCACTAACCAGGCCTGACTGTACTTAGCTTCTGAGATCAGACCAGAGATAGAACCTAGTGTCTTAAGAATATTTAGCATCCAGCAGCAGCGGAGAAATCTTGCCAAGAAAACCTCGTGACAGGTTTGCCTTGGGGTTATCATAAGTCAGAAATGATTTATAAAGCATACAGCAACAAAGAGAAAGATGAACATAAACAAGACCACAGTTCTGAACTCTATGTCGATCTGGAACAAGTGCCTGTGGTTTATGTAACTGTAAATATAAATAAATAGAACTGAAGATAAACAGCAACTAATTTGTTTCACTGAGGTCCACTGACTGTAGCTAATTTGGTGCTCCAGGAAGGGGAGCTCAACATTACACAACAATCTGCCTTGGAGCATGTGCAGAGCCCAGTAGTATTTCTTTTTCTTTAGGGAATGTCACACCCAAATCCTTTCAATCATGGATTTAATCCTAGACCCCAGCCCCCAAGCTTCCTTGATTGAATCAGGAAAGTTTTGAATGGGGAAAGATTGAATCAGTGGTGCTATTGTGAAACGGATGTGAGCCGAATGACTGCAAATCACTGAGAGATATGCAAATAAATCTCAATCTGCTTTCCATTCATTATTAACAGGAACTGGCAGTCTATGCAGCTTTGCAGTTGGCCTTCAGAGGGTTGATAGTGGGAGGCTTCTGGCTGACTGGGAAGAAGCACTGGTTTTGCAAATTTCCCATTCACCACGCAGCCATAGCACACCACTATTTTTTAAAGTATGTTTCCAAGCCTCATTGCTTGATAGTGTAATGGTACCTTCTTGTATGTAGCATTTATACACATGCATCAGGCATGTAGCCGGGTGGGGGGAGGCTTTGGGGGCTTCAGCCCCCCCCCCCCCAAATTCTCATGGTGGTCCGCGAAAAGGCCTTACTGGTACATTATTTAAACTGTTATGTTTATTCATATCATGACCTGATCACCATGCTCAATATATCTCATATGCATGGGGGTATTGGGATAATGATACAAAAGGTTTGCTAGGGTAGACCCTCTTTCACTCAGACTCAGCCCCCCCCCCCCAAATCAAAATCCTGGCTACGGGCCTGACATGCATGTAGTCACTTTTAAACTATCCAATCCAATAACCAAAGTGAACAAAGCTCGCTCGAACACCTCAGCAAGCAAGAGTCAAAACCCAGAGCCTTTCTCATTTGGCTGATACCAAATGAGAGACTCCCTCCTGGAAACACAGAAAACTGGGTGACTTGGAAGGCGCTAAACAGACTGCGCTCTGGCACCATGAGATGCAAAGCCAACCTTCAGAAATGGGGCCACAAAGTGGAGTCCATGACATGCGAGTGTGGAGAAGAGCAAACCACAGACCACCTACTGCAATGCAACCTGAGCCCTGCTACATGCACATTGGAGGACCTTCTTATAGCGACACCAGATGCACGCAAGTGGCCAGCTACTGGTCAAAGGACATTTAATAGAATGCCAAGTTTGCAAACTTTGTGTTTTGTTTGTTTGTTTTTTATTGCAATACACCTGTTTAGTTCGCTCCTGACATCTATATAAATAAAAATGTAATGTTCGTTTGTGGGATTAACAGAACTCAAAAATCAGTGGGCCAATTGACATCAAATCTGGACAGCATAGACCTAACAACTCAATGTATGTCCTGCACTCAAAATTTTTTGATTTTGTCATTTGGGAGTTGTAGTTGCTGGGATTTATAGTTCCCTACAATCAAAGAGTATTCTGAACTCCGCCAATTATGGTATTGAAACAAACGTGGCACACAGGACTCCCATGACCAACAGAAAATACTGGAAGGATTTGGTGGGCATTGATCTTGAGTTTGGGAGTTATAGTTCACCAATATCCAGAGAGCACTGTGAGCTCAAACAATGATGGATCTGGGCCAAACTTGGCACAAATATTCCATATGCCCAAATATGAACACAGATGGAGTTTGGGGGAAATAGACCTTGACATTTGGGATTTGAAGTTAATGGGATTTATAGTTCACCTACAATCAAAGAGCGTTCTGAACCCCAAGAACAACAGAATTGAGGCAAACTTCCCACACAGAAGCCCCATGAGCAACAGAAAATACTTAAGGCCATCCAGTACAACTCCCTTCACTAGGGTAACAAAACGTAATCAAAGCCCTCCTGACAACAAGCCATCGAGCCATAGATATAGATAGATATATATGATTCATGCACACACATATAGTATTATAGATTTGAAAGGGACCCCTAAAGAAGGACAATTATATGTTGCATGTTCCAGAGTAGGCAAATCAGACAATCTCCACATCAACACTGACAAAGAAACAGCAAGAAATACTGTTTACCCACAAGCGTCGAGACATTACATATATTAGAAACCAACACTTTCTCATTACTTTATTTTCCAGATCAGCAGACTGGGCCACAGCAACGTGCGGCAGGGGATGACTAGTAATAACATAAAATACAAAACAACACAAAAGCAATAGCAACAAAACAAGTTGGATAGCAGTAGGATAAAGACAACTCATGGAAGATTATTATCCATATTCCCTTGAAAGAGGCTTCTTGTCCCTGCTCTAGAATCGCAGATCTGTACTGTAGAATGAATTTAGTTTGATGCCACTTTAACTGCCATAGCTCAATGCTGTGGAATCATGGGAGTTGCAGTTTTACAAGGTCCTTAGCCTTCATTGCCAAAGAGTGCTGATGTCTCACCAAACTAGAGTTCCCATGGTTCGACAGCATTGAGCCACTGTTAAGCTGCATTCATTAAATAGCATAAATGTATTAGTCAGTGGCAGCATTTCCTCGAATGAGCCCAAAACATCAAACAGTCCAATCCAGAGTCCAGAATACCAATGAAGAGGTGTGTTTACAGGACACCACTCTGAAAATCCTCAGGGAAATGTGTCCTTTCCCCAATCTGACCAGCCACAAAATTCCTTTCCCAACTTCTGAATACATTTAATATATGCCCAAGAATCTGTGCTATCTGAATCTTCACAACATAAATTTCACCTGTATGCTCAGCATCCTGTTTGTAGTTTGCCCAATCTCCGATTTCCGAGGCTGCCCTTTTACCAGTCACAGGCAGGCAGAATTGGCAAGCAGATGATCTTCACCACTCACCTGGGCACTCACTGGAGCACAAGCACGACCTTGCTGATCTGCTGAGGGCAGATGGAGAGCCTTGGCAGGACCAGGGGACAAGGAGAGCCTCTGGCAAAAACTACACAGCTACCTGGGGAGAAGGGGGCGGAGCGGAGATTAAGCCCCTTGACTCTCAGGCAAGACCCGTCACAAGACTTCCTGAACTCTGAACGCTGCAACTTTACAAGCTGAGCACAGCAGCCAGAGGCGGCACTTCTCCTAAAGCTGTGACCTATCATCTAGAGCAGTGTTTCTAAAACTTCCTAATACCGCGACCCCTTAATACAGTTCGTCATGTTGTGGTGACCCCCAACATAAAATTATTTTCGTTGCTACTTCACAACTGTAATTTTGCAACTGTTATTAGTCATCATATAAATATCTGATATGCAGGATGCATTTGATACAAATATGTGATTTGCGCAAATTTGAATGCTAGTGGGGTTGGAGGGGGATAATTGATTTTGTCATTTGGGAGTTGTAGTTCCTGGGATTTATAGTTAACCTACAATAAAAGAGCATTCTGATCTTCACCAGTGACGGAATTGAACCAAACTTGGCACACAGGACCCCCATGACCAACAGAAGGGTTTGGTGGGCATTGACCTTGAGTTTTGGAGTTGTAGTTCACCTACTTCCAGAGCACTGCAGACTCAAGCAATGTGGATCTGGACCAAACTTGGCACGGATACTCAATGTGCTCAAATGTGAACACTGGTGGAGTTTGGGGGAAAATAGACCTTGACATTTGGGAGTTGTCATTGCTGGGATTTATAGTTCACCTACAATCAAATAGCATTCTGAACCCCACCAATGACAGAATTGGGCCAGACTTCCCACATGGAACCCTTATGACCAACAGAAAATACTGTGTTTCCTTATGGTCTTTGGTGACCCCTCTGGCATCTCCTTGCGACCCCCCCAGGGTCCCGACCCCCAGGTTGAGAAACGCTGATCTAGAGGGGCACAAAAAAAGCCATCAATGCACTGCTGTTTGCCCTGCTCTGACTATGTGTATGTGTTTGTGCTTTCAAGTCACTTGCTGCCTTATAATGATACCCATATATTTCACAACGTCTTTCTTAGACAAGTAATACTCAGATGTGCTTTTGTCGCCCCCTTTTTCTGAAATATAACCTACAGCACCTGCATTTACTGGTGATCTTTCATAAACAGAAGTCTGAAAATGGTATGGCGGGCCGGGTTGGTTTTCTTCCATCTCAAGAAAGCAAGTGGAATCCCATGGAATGCATGAGACTGAGTTATGGAATGAGGTGGGGCTGTAGCTCAGGCTAGAATGCATTTTTGCATACAATTGGGGTATAGGTTCCAAAATGGCACGTCTTGTGCTGATTTTGCAAAATCTTTCCATTCTCAGTCAGTCACAAGAATCAATAATCAAAACCAAATCTAGTACGTTGCTTGTATCTACAGACTAACATAACATCCATCAGAGAGACAGGATGTTCAATTACTTGTGCGGAATCACATTTTTCTTGACTGGAACTGATAAGTATGGCAGAATGAGCAGCTGAAACTGAAGGTTTTACAGTTATATCCCAGCAAAAGAAAGTTAAACTGTATAAATAAAAAACAGTCTATCTGTGTGAACACCCGATTTACAAACGATGGATAGTTAAGAATGTGGGTGAGAAACTGGAGTGTGCCAGTTTGATACCGGGCACAATTCAAAGTGCTGGCTTTAGCCTATAAAGCCCTAAATCAGTGTTTCTCAACCTGGGGGTCGGGACCCGGGGGGGGGGGTTGCGAGGGGGTGTCAGAGGGGTCACCGAAAACTATCAGAATGTACAATATTTTCTGTTGGTCATGGGGGTTATCTGTAGGAAGTTTGGTCCAATTCTGTCGTTGGTGGGGTTCAGAATGCTCTTTGATTGTAGGTGAACTATAAATTCCAGTAACTACAACTCCCAAATATCAAGGTCTATTTTCCCCAAACTCCACCAGTGTTCACATTTGAGCACATTGAGTATCCGTGCCAAGTTTGGTCCAGATCCACATTGCTTGAGTCTGCAGTGCTCTGGAAGTAGGTGAACTACAACTCCAAAACTCAAGGTCAATGCCCACCAAACCCTTCTGTTGGTCATGGGGGTCCTGTGTGCCAAGTCTGGTTCAATTCCATCATTGGTGGAGTTCAGAATGCCCTTTGATTGTAGGTGAACTATAAATCCCAGCAACTACAACTCCCAAATGACAAAATCAATCCCTCCCTCAACTCCACCAGTATTCAAATTTGAGCATATTGGGTTTTGTGCCAAATTTGGTCCAGTGAATGCAAATACATCCTGCATATCAGATATTTACATTATGATTCATAACCGTAGCGAAATTACCGTTATGATGTAGCAACAAAATCAATGTTATGTTTCACAAGCACGTCTGGGAGGGATGAGAGACAGGGCCTTCTCTGTGGTGGCTATGGAACTCCCTGCCTAGGGATATTAGATCAGCCCCCTCCCTCCTGACCTTCCGTAAAAGAGTGAAAACTTGTCTCTTTGAGCAAGTGTTTGAAACTTCAGCATGACCAGATAAACTTAAATTGGAATATGGACTAGAACGGCTAAGACGATTGAATGGTTGAGGATTTGAACAAGAAGACATAGTTTTTATAATGTTTATTGTTTATTGTTTTTTTATATTTTTTAAATGTATTGTGATGCGATTTTTTTTGCCTTTAACCAATGTATGTATTTTTATATGGAATCTAATTGAGTCACCTTCGGGCTGATATGGGCAGGATAAAAGTGACATAAATAAATAAACTGGGTTGTTGTGAGTTTTCCAGACTGTATGGCCATGTTCCAGAAGCATTCTCTCCTGACGTCCTGGCTTCTGGAACATGGCCATACAGCCCGGAAAACTCACAACAAGCCAGTGATTTTGGCCATGAAAGCCTTCCACAATACATTGAGAGAAGTCTAGCCTTAGCAAGGGGAAATTCACTCCTGAAAGAATTATCATGGGGAAAGGTGTCTCCACTGAAGCTTTATCATCAGTCCTTGCTTTCACAACAAGCCTCCCCCCCCCTCAAAATCCAATTATCATAGGGATAGAAAGTAAGGTGAAATTTTATGAATAAGAGAACAGACAGCAAAACAAAAACCACAGTGGTGTTAATCCCTATGCTGTCCAAAGCTTACACAAACACACACACACTTACTTTTTTGGCTGGAGTTACACTTTAAAAATGTACCTGTTCCAACTTACAAACAAGTTCAACTTAAGAACAAACCTACAAAACCCATCTTGTTCGTAACTTGGGGACAGCCTGGGATTTTTTAAATTTTATTTTATTATTATTTTTGCTTTACTAAAGGATGGGCACAGGCACCTTTTCACATTTTGTCCCGACAACATGAAATTGTGGCTGATTGAGAACCACAAGATTTTGCAAAATAGAAACTAACTTAGCAGTGCATTCATTGGGTAGCAGCTATAGCTTTCTTTGGTAAATCTCTGTCACTGGGCAGACTTTTGGCTGGAGGCAATTCTTCAAGGTCTCTATAATAGATATACTGCAAATGAAAGCGGAATACATGATGGATGAGTTCTGTAACCTGTTTTCAGTGCCGGGATTCAACTCTGGCATGGAGGGTCTTAGTGTTCAAGCAGAATCCCTCCTTTGTCTTCAGGTGGCAAAATCTGCACTCCTGACATACCTGTAAGGCTTCTAAGGGCCCTTCCACCCAGGCATATATCCCAGAATATCTAGACAGAAAATCCCACAATATCTGATTTGAACTGGAATATTTGGCAGTGTGGACTTAGATAACCCAGTTCAAAGCAGATATTGTGGGATTTTCTGTCTTGATATTCTGGGTTATATGGCTGTGTGAATGGACCCTAAGAGAGTTTAGCAAGGCTGAATTAAGTTCAATCTCTGTCCACATGTTCGGAAACGCTTTCACTCTGAACTGCTCTCAAGCATCAACTGTTTTCTAGACATTGCCAATTCCGGCTTCTAAAACTTCCTTGAGGCTATCTCCTCCTGTTCTCAAGAAATTAATTTGATTGATGGCTTTTAGTTTTAGAGCCTATTCTAGCCACAAGAGACTTAAAACATATCATAACATATCCATTGTAAACAATTGGAGCATTAAATATTCAGCTGTGATTGAAATGGATTTATTGGGAAAGCAGATATACAATCTATGGAAATAAAAATGTAATGTTCGTTTGTGGGATTAACAGAACTCGAAAACCACTGGACGAATTGCCGCCAAATTTGGCCACAAGACACCTACCCACCCAAGGAGTGACCATCACTAAAAAAATGATTTTGTCATTTGAGAGTTGTAGTTTCTGGGATTCATAGTTTACGTACAATCAAAAAGCATTCTGAACTCCACCAATGATGGAATTGAACCAAATTTGGCACACAGGACCCCCATGACCAGCAGAAAACACTAGAAGGGTTTGGTGGGCATTGACCTTGAGTTTGGGAGTTGTACATCCAGAGAGCACTGTGGACTCAAACAATGATGGATCTGGACCAAACTTGGCACTGATACTCAAAATGCCCAAATATGAACAGAGATGGAGTTTGGGGAAAATAGACCTTGACATTTGGGAGTTGTAGTTACTTAGATTTATAGTTCACCAACAATCAAAGAGCATTCTGAAGCCCACGAATGACAGAATGGGGGCAAATTTCCCACACAGAAGGCCCATGACAAACAGAAAATATATAAGGCCATCCAGTCCAACTCCCTTAAGCAGGGCAAGAAAACGTAATCAAAGCCCTCCTGACAAAGAGCCATCCAGTCATAGAAATAGATAAATCTATATGATTCACACACAGAGAGATATAGTATCATAGATTTGAAAGGGACTCCTAAAGAAGAACAATTATATGTTGCATGTTCCAAAGTAGGCAAACCAGACAGTCTCCACATCAGCACTGACAAAGAAACAGCAAGAAATACTGTTTACCCAACAAACAATAAGAAATTACATATATTAGAAATCAACACTTTCTCATTACTTTATTTCCCAGATCACCTGACTGGGCCACAGCAACACGTGGCAGGGGACAGCTAGTCCTGATATAAAACAGGAGCAAATAGTGAGTTA